CGATATCATTACCGCACGAAAATCTCGCCGCCTTAACTATTTATTTTATTTCATTGCTTTTATTGAATTTTTAACAATGTTTCCTTTACGGCAAACAGTGTTTCTGAAATTACATTTTTACAATAATCATTTGAAAACTAGAGATGTCGCCTTCGCTATTGATTTTACACAAAAATTTGACAATTCATCTACACATTTTAAATTTCATACTAAAATCAGATTTGCACATGTAATAATTCGTGATTTATTATAAAGCCTAAAATATTTCCGATAGTTAGTTTATGGTATCGTCAGACTCCTTAGACCTCGGGTTACTTATCCAAAACTAATGCGCTTAAGTCAGAATAAAGTTCCAATCGGTGTACGCAAATAAAACAATTCCAATACAGTTTCACGTTCAATTATCATAATCACGACTTCTTGCAAATTACGTAATCTCAGTTAGCAATATTACCAGCCCGAATGAGAATCTCTAGTACCGCGAACGAGATACCCTTTGCCCACTGTTGATAAACTACTTTGCTTACTGAGTTTTAAATCGATTAACTTTTAAAGTCACACTTATATCTTGAGCTGGCAATGTCTTCTAAGAATGGTATATAATTTTTAAAGTCCCTTAATTACATATTATATACGTGATCAGGCTACTTTAAGTAATGATTACTATCGAAATATTAGCCCAATTAAAAAAATTAAATGAATGTATCGCATTCATAGATTCACACTTGTTAACGCACACTATTTTAATTTCCTGTTTTCAAGAATCTGCTGGAAGAGAACTTTCTTTAGAGTTAAGCTCGCCTTTGTACATGTTTTTTTGTCAATTGTTCCAACTATTTATTTTATATTGTGGTATTTTGTTTGTTTGTATTAGTTCCTGTTTTAATGTACCATTAAAGGTGGTTACAATAAAGAAATCAAATGTTTGTTTGATTTCTTTATTGTAACCAACAAACACTGTTCCAAGCAGGTGCAACTAATCGAAGCGAATTAATATTTTTGAAAGAACAAGAACCAAACATTACAACAGGAGGAAAATTTAAATTGCTTAATAGACACTTGAAAACATCAGTTGGATAGAACCCTACACTAATTATATGAAATAATAATATATATCCAACTATTGACCAATCCAACCTATTAGTGAACTAATTTGTTTATGTGATAAATAGAGTGTATGGTTCTCGGGGCAAGAGAACGAATTTAACGCTAGGTAGGAGACACTTCTGCAGAGATCGATTGTTTGATTACAAAAACCAATGCCATTAAACATGGATCCTCTGAATCGAATAATTTTTATTTTTTATTTTTATGTGAAAAGTTGCCAAACGAGCAGACGGTTCACCTGATGGTAAGTGAATTCCGCAGCCCATGGACATCTGCTATACCCGAGGGTTAGATGCGTTGACAACCTTTTGAAAATTGGGCTCCGGCTACCTCACTCACCAGACGAAACGCGAAAGTATTTGTGGTACTTCCACTTTACGCTGGTCTTCTGTGAGGTCGTGGTACTTACCCGGACGGGCCTGCCCATTCGTGCAACAGTCGAGGCTGCTGCGTGGCCCTACCACCGTTATAAATAATAATAAAAATATTTACCAAATGTACATTTTAAAATTAATCTTTATTGTTCTCGGCATAAAGGCCAACAACATCCGTCGACCACCGTGTTAATATGCAGTCTGCTGTCGAGTCAATGCTGATAAAACAAATCGTTATGCAAATTTCTGTAGTTGTAAATTGTGAGCTTTGTATGTATATTTGGGGTCCACGCGAGGTGTGGCACGTACACCGTACGCGCCCTAGGGCCTGAAACGTCACTTGTGATTGACTCCATTGTCAATGAGTCACTCAATTGTTGAACAATCAAAGAAATTGTTTGCGGCAATTCATTGAAAGAAACGCCTAGTCATTCTTCATGAGGTTACCTTACTTGAACCGTATTTTAGATTGAAACGATAGTTATTATAATTATGTGAGAAGGTGACAAGCGTGCTGGCGATTTACCTGATATTAAGTGATAACAACCGCCATGGAAATATAGAACACCCGTAGGGTTGTAAATGCGTTGCGGGCCCAGGTTAACTCATTCACTAGAAGAAACGCAAAACTCAAAAACTTCTAGATCACGCCGGTCCTCTGTGAGGTCGTGGTACTTCCCCGGACGGACCTGCACATTCGTGCAACAACGTACACTGCCTACCGTAGCGCAGAATTTTATAATTATATTTTTATAACTAACTGACGAGCTTCCTTTGTACATTGTATTAAGGTATAACTTCACACGTTGGAACTTGGTTACCATCCTTAGCCATAAACATTCCTTAAATAAGCAAACATGGACATGTCTGCGACAATCGTAAAAGTGCGACAGGACATTAGCCCCTTCTTAAGTATACAAGTTACGTGAGCAAAATTAAATGAGGTTGTCGCCAAAACACAGGATAAATCATTCGCAAAAATTTATTACGGCCTACTTAATGTCCAACTACGTGTCAAAAACCCCTTAAGGAAATTTGTTATTAAAATGATTTATTTATTTATTGTTTCAACGAACAATGGTACAATAAAACGGGAACTAATACAAACTAGTAATCGTGCCTCTTCAAACATGTACATGTTTCTTCAAATTTTTCTGTGACGATAAAAATAAATTATAACGCTTAAAACTAGAATGCAAAATAAAACATTTTAAAACGATGAACAATAATTATATAAAATAAATAATAATTACATACATTAAAATTTTGACATGACATTGAAAATATAGATAATTAAACTTCACTCTGGTAAGGCAAAATATAATAAATAGTTGATATATCAGCTCTTGCGCGAAAAAGCCAGACCGACCGGGTAAGTAAGGACCCCAGTGAAGTCAAAATATTTATACTCATGTGACATACTGGATTGGTCTTCAATTTACATCACAGATGAACAAACTCTGATCTGAATGAAATAAACAAACTCACTTATCGCTGTCACTAATTTGACATAACGGGTTATGGATTGACACCATGTATTTGGCTATTCAATATAAGAGAATTATTTCTTTCTTACTAGCACCAGCCCGCACGGGTACAATATATTATACCTATAAACCTTCCTCTTGAATCACTCTATCTAGTAAAAAAGACCGCATCAAGATACGTTGCGTAGTTTTAAAGATCTAAGCATACATAGAGACAGATAGACGGCGGGACGACTTTGTTTTATACTGTTTCTTATGTTTTTGCGAACGCAAATTCTGAATGAAACTAATTTGAAGGGCTTCATTACGTTTAATCTACCTTAAATTTAATGACGTCAGTCCCGTGACCATGAATGCTGAAAAGTAGCCAAAACGTCGGATATTGAAATAAAATGAGACGTGATAAAATCCGTAAAAACAATTTAATTTAACAAAATTTATATACAATTTCGTGCATGTATAACCATGTTTATGAATATAATTTATTTCTCATTCCAATAGAATATTTTGATAACATACTCAGAGAAACTTATTAGTTGTTATTATTGTATGCAGTGAAAATTTTATAATTCTTGTATAGCTTTGGTTTTGGTTCAATAATAAACGTAAAATATCAGCTTATTTTACATGGAAATAAAAATTTCAAATTACATACACAACAACATTAATAAAGCTACACTGGTATATTTCCTTAATATTTGTTTATTATATAACGATATATTTATATAATTATAACATATATAAATACTAAATATAACCGCCAACAGTCGATCATCAAGAAGTAAAACTTAATCCCGCCGATTTAAAAATTTCATTACTAATTAGTAATTTGCGTCTATGAGCACGACTCTTAATGATCAGCTGATCAAAATTCCGGAATAAAACCTTGCACTAGCTGATATACAACCATATCCTCCACGGAAGGTCGAAAACTATGCTCAATATGCATTGACACAATGAAGGAGCCAAAAAACTTGAATAATTATGTACGCAATCATAATTATTCGTATACTTGACCCAACTTTCGTTGACTGACGACCGTTTAAGTGTGAATCAGCTGGCAATCCCGAGGTGTACGCGACGCGATTTCCGTACGCGTGACCTCCATTTTAAAAGAATTGACAATGGCCGATCATTAGCTCCAACTTATATGACAATCTAACGTTGTTAATAAAAATTATTGCTTTAAATAAACATTATAATTATGCTTTGATACAATCTACATCTGGTAGTGAAAGTTGAACCTTAAAGAAATAGCAAAAAGCTCATATCTCAACTTCTGAATGTCGGGATGAATTTTTGATTTAAGAAATTATTAGTTAACAAAAAGATATATAATATATAACGCGCATTGAAATACTTTTTTGTTATTGGAGGGGGAAATCTAGAAAAGATTCTTCTGGGTTTGTCTTTTGGGTAATGTTGGATTCTTACCCGGTAAAACCACTTCTTCACCTTCAGTACGTTGGGTAGGAGTCCGAGATCTCCTTCAGAAAATGTTAATACCTCTCCGCATTGTACAAAAGCACGCCCCCGAAAATGCAAAACCTTCCCCAATTCACTGATTTCAGTCAATAAGACCACTTCGTGTCATCAGAACCACTATAGACGATGATCAGGTTCTCTTTCTCGGTCGCCCGTGAACACAGTGTCCCCTTTACTTACCTTTTACCATAGACACGGTAAATGAACTATTAAATGTGAGCCTGGGATACATTCAATTTTAAACGAAGATGCTACCAATTTATACTTTTCATATTATTTAAATAAAAAGAAAACCATACTGTACATTTTCTTGCCGGTTCTTCTCAGAACAGGTCTAAATTAGTGAACTAGTGGGATTTTTAAGGTTAAATCATAGTTTAAAATAAGCCTATATTAAAGATATTTTTACATTAGACCTTTGACTTCAAGACTAATTCAAACATTGTTTTGTTCAATTAATACGCGAAAAAATTGAATATTTCGGGACTTTTAATCAAGTGTATGTTATTCATATATGTTATTTAAAACTGACCATGTTGAATTGCAGAGAGCAGTGGCAATATCCTCGGCGCGAGCGAATGGAACACTGGCTACCCTTCAACGGCGGGGGTTTACCCAACGTACAGCAGCATGCCTTTACAACCTCCTTACTACAAGTCGGATCCGGCTATTCACATACCAACAGGTAATTTCTATTCATCTCTATCATTTGTTATTCTATTCTATTGTACGCTATTTTTACATGTGAAAAGTTGGCAAGCGAGCAGACGGTTCGTTCACCAGATGTTAAATGATTATCGCCGCCCATAGACTTAATAAGTTAATACACTACTTAACAATAAGCTTTCAATTTAAATCTATATTATATACTAGCTATTGCCCGCGACTACGTCCGCGTGGAATAGGATGAAAGCGAAAAATTCAGACAGATACAGACAGATGTCTATACATATAATAAAAATGTTACTTGTGTTTGTCGGTACACGGAAGATATTTGAGAAAAACGATTATTAAAGATCCTCCTTTATCAACACAATAGAACCCAAAACAATGGTTATTAAAATTTTTGTCCGTGTGTATGTGCGTTTGTGCGCGTAATCTCGGAAACGGCTTAACCGATTTGGGTGCAACTTTCACTTATGCATTGTAGTACTTCACTTAACATTTAGTGTTAGTTTTATTCAAATCGGTTCATAAATAAAAAAATTATATCAACTTAAAAAAAAGTAATCGCTACAGCTGAATTGGACGAAACTGTAGTTAACGACAATTATATTATGGTCTGCAAAATGATATATAAATTTAAAAACAAGCCAAATACGAGTCTCAATCGTGAACGAAGAGTTCCATACCATAATCTATAATAAAAAAGGCAATAAAATTACGTCCGTTGTATGAGAGCCCCACTTAAAAAAAATATTCTGCTTTATTTTATTTGTTGTTATAGCGTCAACAGTGAAAATTTCAACTGTCTGAATATCACAGTTTATGAGATACATGTATCAAACAGATGCTAGCAGTCTAGCTAGCATCAGTTTGTTTGAACTCACTAATCTCAGCTATTACTGGTCCGATTAGAAAAATTCTTGCACTGTTAGATGGCCAATTTATTGAGGAAGGCTACTTTTTAAGCACGATATAAAATGTGGTACATACGGCCCGAACCGCGGGCGAAAAGCTAGTGTACAATAAAATATCACTTTAAATACCACATTCATAGTTTTGCCTTCTGGGAAACAATTACTATGGGTCACACAAATAATTGTCCAGTGTGAGAACCGAACCCACGCCGAAGGCAATGTCTTTACAACTGCGCAATGGTCAGTGATCTAGCGAATTAACATATAACTGACTCCAATGTGCGAGATAATGAATGGTGTCTATGGCGAAATGGGTATCAGCACTAAGTCGTGTTTGGTTTTTATTAGATTTTTGAGATCAAATCGTTCTCATTTTTTTAAATTCTATCCAGGCATATTTGTAATAAATACTAAAAGGTAAATTCAATGATTTAGAAAATACTACAAAATAAGTATCTTAATTACAAAAAAAAAATATCAGATACAATTTGTGAGTCAGTGATAAAAAAACAAACATAATTTCCAAACGACAAAGCAAAATAATATCCGAATATCCTAGCCTAACCAAATCTATATTCCTAAACAGTGACAGATTTGTCCGTTGCTCGCCCTAGGCTTATTAAAGATTAAGAGAAAAGACTCTTAAGAGAGCTGGAAGTCACAAAAAATTAAACAAAGAAAGTTAGTACATGATATTATGGACCCGACGAATGGTACCTACTTATCAGGCCCGCTTGATTTGTTATAATTTTCATGGAATATCGCCTACGCAAAGAAGCGAAAGGCGAAATGCAAGCAACGCTACTAAAAGACCCCACTAATTTGCAGCCCCCTACATTTGGACCGCCGAGTACGCGGCCTATAGAGAAATCCACTACTGTTCCTAACAACTAACTAAATCGTAAACCAAAATCAAGAATATCCCTATACCGAGCAAAACTAAAATCATACCTATCGTATAAATCTCAATTGAAGAAATTCGCATTATTATTATTAAAATGCAAATGGACGGCACTTGTCCCTTAATTAACTTGTGAAAATATGTATACAGCGCATTTTATGAAGACAACGCCATCTAGTTTTTGCATGGGAACTAATTCCTTATCTTTTTACTTAGCTTTTTTTTAGTGAACCAATTGCAATAAAACAAAGCTTTAATGTTGCACAGAATTAATCTTGAATACTTACAAAAATACTTTCAAAAACACCATACAAATTAGTCCAGTAGTAGGATAACTGTGATAACTGTTTGCGACTGCACACCTTTAATCTTAAAACTCCCATATCTCCTATTTGAGTGAACCGATTGAGATGAAACAAAGCCTAGATCCAGCCCCAACCTTTGCTTAAGTAACCAGTGAAAACTGCATCAAAATCCGATAAGTAGTTTTCAAGTTTATCGCTAACAGACAGACAGACAGACAAAAATTCCAAAAATGGTTTTTATGTTTTTATGATACCCTTTTTCATTATTTCATAAAAAGAGTAGAATCGGCGTGTCTGTACATTGAATAATGTACAAACACGCCGATTCTACTCTTTTATTATAGTATAGAAGTATAGATGTATATTATCCAGACTAAGTTTAAAGTGGAAGTTTTAAGTAAACGTAATATTTCTGACAACATTACAACAAGTATTAGTAACAAGTATAAAAAAAGTATACTTGCGAATTTAAAATGCTATTTAATTACATACTAATGCTTTTTATTGTCAGCCTTTTTGTTTTCTTTTTCTTAAAGAAAATTTGAGAATTATTGTAAGACGTCCATACATTATCTATCAATGATAATCCATTGAACCATAAAAAAAATCGTGTCTGGTCACGAACTTTCTCTAGCAAATCATTTGCTTTATATTTCACGTTTATAATTAAAATGAACAGTTCAAATCTGCTTCTAATTACTATCTTTAAAATAAAATCTAAGCCGATGGTTCGTCCATTTCAGTATTGCCGGAAATGCCGCTGTGTCACACGGACTACGGCGGCTTCCAGACCGGTAGTGCGGGCTTCAAAGGCAGCCCGGGCACATCCGGGCCCGCGCTGACCGACCTGAACACGCCCTCGCTGACTGGCCACACGACGGCGATGCCCACCCAAGCCCGCTGCGAGCCCAACTACTACAACTCGTGGCCTACGAACACCTACAACTACAACAATTACCAATACAATAACATCAACAACAATCCCACGTGCCTGCAGTCGCACACGCCGTACATAAACCCGAACCCCCAAATGATCCTGCCTAACCTGTACTCGACGGTAAACCAAAACCAAATCCACGTGCACCTGCACAGCTCTACCGACAAACATATCGAGCAGTACATCCCTAGCGAGATAAAAATAAGCGACATCGATGGCGGCATATCGATAACGACCGAGCTCCAAGGCGCCGGGGAGGGAAGCGGGTTGGTCCAGACTTGTGAAGGGGGCGATGACGTGAAACACGGACTCTACGGTGCCGCCAACCAAGAAGTATGGCGTCCTTATTGACAATTCAATTATAATTATAACGATAAACATTCCGTTGTACATATTGTGATATAGTTAATTCAATTGCAATCCATAATAGAGTATTAAATGTATAATAGTAATTATTATGAAAAGGATTAATGTTAAACATTAATTAGTTAAGTGTTGATAATTTCTTTATGATAAGCGAAAAATAATAAAAACCTACAAATTATTTATAGTTTTTACTATCCTACCTCAATTTACGGGATCTTTTTACCGTTACAGCGGTGAAGAAGACATCGTGATCCTACATGTTTTCGAAATAATAATAAAAAAATAGATGATTTGTAAAGTGTGCCAATCCGCAGTATGATCGCGTGGTGGTACGCCCTAATCTAATACCCTCTAAACAGAGAAGGCCTGGAGTGAGACATAATTATGAAGGCTGTTACCTTTTTTTTTAAATATTTAAAATGCAGATCTAAATAGTGCAATTAGTGCCACATGCAACGAAATGTGAAAGATATATCTTTATATACATATATAATTCTTCTGTACGTGTATGTCACTGAAATCCTCCTAAACGGCTCGATCGATTTCAATGATTTTTTTGTGTATTTTCAGGTCGATTCGAGAATGGTTTAGATTCACAATTCGTTATTATTTTTTACTTTTAAGTGGTTGTCGGATTTAAGTCGCGTGTACAGAACAACGTACGTTGGTTCTGCTAGTTTTATATAAAAATTATTCCGTTGATGACCTTCTTTTTGCGTATAGAATTTAAAATTTCATCTACTGAGCAAGTTGGCAACCACTGAAAATGGACCTCAACTCGCTTCACTCTTCAGAAGAAACTCAAAAGTAAAAATGCAACAATTTCATGAGAACATACTTACCAATCAAGCAGGCCAATTTAAAAGCAGCCCATTTTCTGCGATTTACAGCAAGTATTCTTCGTCATAAAAGTATATTTTTTGAACCAACAAAATTAACTGATGATTGACTAATATCTCACTTCATAGTAAGTCAGATGTAATCTTAGATGGTAAAGCAGTCTTGCCTACTCACTGTTGCCTTAGTAACTCTCAGAGTAAAACTCCCATCGAGAGACTGGTTGCTCTGTTTCTGACTGGGCAGATTGTTTCTTACCAGGTCATCTGGCCAAAGCTGAAATTTGAGGAGATCTCAAGCATTTGATGCCGGTCGGAATATTTTAACGGTACATTCCGAAAAGCGGGAGCCGAAAATTGCCCTCCAGAACGTACCCAGGATCCAGGATAATCCAGGTATTATAATGCATTTCCATAAAATTTTTCGTGTAAAAATTAAGAGATGTTTTTGTCATGCAAATATAGGCCTTAAAAATATTTTTTTAGATAAAAAAGACTAGCACGAGCGCAATGACAACCAATGAAAGCCGTAGTAGTAGCCGTAGTATTGTATTATTTTATGTTTTTTTACATTTACAAACTCTTAAAATTCTGCCACTGGGAGTAAAATATCCGTAAATCTCATTCTTCGTAAACAACTTAATCCACGGTCCTTGGTAAGGTATCTACTAGCGCAACCGCTAACGACTGTATAAAGGAAGATACAATTTATAATATATGTTAGCCCGCTTAAGATCCCTTATGGACACCAAAGGGCTCCCCATCCCAGAGCAGTTTGGATTTAGAGCCAAACACTCATGTACCCATCAAGTGCACCGCATCACGGAGCACATTTTAACTAAACGTCAACGTGGACTCAACACCGGTGCGCTCTTCCTGGACGTGGCAAAAGCGTTCGACAAAGTCTGGCACAACGGGCTCGTATACAAGCTATACGGGTACGGAGTGTCCGACCGTCTCGTATGCATAATACGAGACTTCCTAAGTGATCGAACCTTTCGCTATCGCGTCGAGGGCGTGTGTTCGACTACGCATCCCGTTCGAGCCGGGGTGCCCCAAGGGTCGGTGTTGGGACCAGTCTTGTTCACTCTCTACACCAATGACATGCCGCGTGTCAAAGATGTAGAACTTGCTCTTTTTGCCGACGACACCTGTATTTATACCACAGGCAGAACACCCGAATTGATCCATCGACGCCTCCAAGCTGCGGCCATCACCATCGGTGACTGGTTTCGGCAATGGAGGATCGAAATCAATCCCGCCAAAAGCGCGGCAGTCCTTTTCGCGCACAAAAAGAACATACCAATACCACCCCCCGTTAAACTCTTGGACAGCCCAGTACCATGGGTTACTAAAGTCAAATATCTAGGCGTCGTCCTCGACTCCCAGCTCAAATTCACCCAGCACGTGACTCAGGTCAGGAAACGGGCGGCCTTCGTACTCGGTCGCCTCTACCCGCTCCTCAATAAAACGTCAAAAATGTCCCTTCGGAACAAGGTGACCCTATATAAGGCAGTAGTTCGCCCTATCATGACGTACGCGAGTCCCGTCTTCGCTCACATTGCTCCGAAGCAAATACACCGGCTTCAGGTGATCCAAAATCGATTCTTGCGCAGAGCCACGGGAGCACCCTGGTTCATGCGCAATATCGACCTACATGTCGATCTAGAATTGCCCTACACCAACACACACCGCACTCACCGGCGAGTGCGGCAAACATATACTAGGTTCCGCCACGTACCTGGCAGGTTTTCCCCTATTAATGATAGAAGCGTTGCTGGAGTTTCTTCCGCCACTTCTTTTCCCAGCGCCAACGCTCTCCGAAGTGGTAGTAATGTTAGCACTAGTAATTCCCCCAGTCAGATAATAGCTACCGATCGAGCCGAGGTCCGGCCCTCTCGGGCACCCTCGAATCGGAATGCTAAACGCGTGCTGAGTGACAGCCCAAGCCGAGGTCCCCCTCTCGGGGACCCTTGAGCCTGATCACTCCATGGAGCGTCCGCCAAAGCGCCCTAAGAGCTTGGCGGCCTCCCAAACCGGTAACAGTAATAGCGTGACGGCCCGAGCCGAGGCTCCCCCGGGAGCCCTCGAGCTTAGTCACCATAACGCGTAATAATAGTACGCCGAGGTTCAGGCTAGGCGCCTCGTGCGCCAGGCCACCTCAAGTCCGTCGGATCTGTAAAGGCCCCTAAGGCCAACAGTGGCTCATCCAGCCAAGCCCAAAAAAAAAAAAAAAAAAAAAAAAAAAAAAAAAAAAAAAAAAAAAAAAAAAAAAAATATAATATATGTATTGATATCCCTAATTTTCGTATTAGCATCGAAATTAACAGCATCTTTAATATTTAAATGATATTTGATAATATTAATTTTTATAACAAAAAAATTTTAAAAACAATGGATGAAAGGTCTTACACCGCTGTGCCCCTCACATATCGAGGGTATAAAATCAAAGTAAATGGCGATAAAATCCATACAAGAATTTCATTTAACCATTTATAGTATTCGCGTAAAAACAAAGAATCATTATGAGCCTGTTATTGAAAAAGAACTTAATGATAAAAAAAAGTAATTGTCTATGGGTACTAAACTGTACTTATCCTTAAAAACAATGAATATTCTATTTCACGCCGGCTTTTTCGGAATTTTCTTATTGATTTTTCTCCCTAATAAAGTAGTTATAGTATTTTCGAGATAATGCTATTTACGCTGATACCGTCTCTAAAAGAAACCGACTATGGCACTGCTGTGTTCTTTACGGAACTGATGACGCAGATTATTATGTTCATCGAATAAAACAGATGCCGATTCACAAAGAAGTCTGCAAGGGTTGGATGCAGAAAGCCGAGGCCAAACGGCTCATCTGGGAGAGGAAATGGTCCATCAGTGAACTAAATAAATACGGACTACAGGAAATTCTTTTCACTCGTTAAATAGCACGTTTATGAAGGAGTCAGTAATTTGGGTCCAAACTGGGTCAGTTTGGACCCAAATTACTGACTCCTTCATAAACGTGTATAATTAAAATGTTATCGGTAAATTCTTCACCATTCAAAAACACCATTTTTAACGAACAGATGATATTTTAATAAGGACCAAAAAACTGCTTTAATAAATACACCACCGTTATACTGCCATCTGAGAAATATAAACGAAATTGTAAAGAAACTGAAACAGAACGCACCTTAAACTTACTTGCCGGTAGTCACGACAGTCCTATAGATGGCACTATTGTATTAACAAACGGAACAACTTCACTTGAGAAAGAAACAAATAACTGAATCGATTCGCATACTTTAAATTATATCATGACGGTGGTAGTTATGTAGTATGAGTTATATAGTATGACTGTTGGACGAATGGGCATGTCCGTGCCGGTAAGTACCACGACCTCACGGAAGACCTGCGTGAAGTAGAAGTGTTAGACTTCTGCATTTCGTTTGGTGAGTGAGGTAGCCGGGGCCCATTTTATTTAAAGGTGGCAACGCATTTGCAATCCTACGGGTGTTACAAATGTCCATGGGTGGCGGTTATCACATAACATTAGGTGAACCGCCACTCATTTGCCACTTTCTCACATAATTCAAATTCGTAAAAGCAGGTTTAATAAAGACTTATTACTACATAGTATAAAACAAAGTCGTCTTGCTGTCTATTGTCCCTATGTTTACTTATATCTCTAAAACTACCCAATGCAATCCATTGCACGTATGCGAAGCATAAAATAAAAAACAAAAGTTCTTCCATTGTGTGAATAGACATGGAAACGTTGAGTCTCCGGAAAGATTTGGAATTTGGAATCATCATAACATCTATGCATCATAAGGAGGATTAGATTAAAGTCAAAATTAGTGTTGCATATCGATAGTCTGCTATCGATAGGCAATCGATTATCTATCGATAGTTAAGGTAAAAGCAATATAGCAAGATAGTCTATCGAAAGTATTCTCACGTGTCAATAGTGTCGATAGTACCGATAGTATCGATGGCTCTCTAAGTGCCAATACTATTGATAAGAGCAATACTATCGATAGTATCGATAGTAATGTATGCGATAGTATCGATGGTATCGATAGTATTGCAATTGTCATTAGTTTTTGACAAAGACTATCGATACTATCGATAGCTAGTTAAAGGCTATTGGTAGTACAAAATTATCGATATTATCGATAGTATTGCTGTTATCAATAGTATTGGCACTTGGAGAACCATCGATACTATCGGTAGTATCGACAGTATTGACTTAGACGATATTATCGATACTACAATCGATATCCTGAATAGTTTTCGAGGTCAACTATCGATAGTTAAACTATCGATGGTTGTCCAACACTAGTCAAAATCTTTGTAAAATATATTATTGCTCGCTTTTTTTCTCTACGAAGAAAAGAGCTAGAAAAAGAAACTACCACTAGGGATGGCCGAATATCATTAGGCCATCAGCCATCTCTGTTCCATAGTACTACTATAAATAGTCACGTACTTTAAATAAAGAATTTCTAAATGAAGAAAAATAATTTTAATTTAAAGTGCCTTGACATAAAATACGATTTTAAATTAAGCTTTTTTATAAATATGCGATTTGAATTTATAATTTTGTCGTTAACAAATTTAAATAATCATTTTAACATGCTGACAAGTTAGCAACACTATCACAAGTGCTACGTGATAAAATGGCGTCGATCGTGTAGGAGTTGCTTGCCTTTCCATACAAATATAAATTAAAGTGACAGATCTAAGTGATTTAGTTTTACTAAAAACTGGTTTTATTAACCTTATTTATCAAGTAATCAACCCTGTGAGTATATCAAATATCTTGACAATTTTACTTGCGTCGTTGTTGCAGGTTTCTGATAACGGACAAATGCAAATACCATACCTGTAACAGAATTAATCGCAGTCATTTGCTTACAGTTGAAAAACCATCTTATCGTAGTTGTGAGAGTGCAATGTCCGAAGAGACAGATCGTCATGGTGAAACGAGTGATGGCGTCACAAACCCAACGCGGGTGTTGTTGACCTCTCACCTACTGGAGACTGGTAGCATTGAGTCGCTCCGCACCGCGTGGAGAAATCAAGATTTGTACATAGATCATCTCGAAACTTTGAACAAACAGCTGGAAGGTATTTACGAAAAGGTTACATCGGCTTGGTAGCGCCGTGGTCGGCGTCTGTTCGACCCGCGACCTCATCTGTGCAAACTATTTTAGTTTCTTATATCGACAATGCTTTAACTAAAATACCTAGTGATACTGTTGCCAATATGTATGAATTGTTACTGTGATATTGAATTGTTAGTTTAACAAAAAAAAACATGTGAAGCGGGGTGTATCTAGGTGATAGTTCAAACCACAGAAGCAAGGTGTTATGCTGTGTCAGAGCTGTGCAAGTGGAGTGATCAGTGGAAGTGCATTATATCATTACGGCATGGGGTCAAGTGTAAGCTCTAGTTTTTTCTGGAGTTGTGACAACAGTGGTGTGGGAGACTTCTATATGTTCTTCAGAAATAAAAAAAATGTTGCTCCAAGTTACAGGCATGACAAAGTAAATATATTTTATTACTTTCTATTTATAAGATTTTTCACTTTGTATGTTCTTAAAATATTGTTCTATGATATGTAAATTGTATGAATACTGCTGAAGAATTTGTAAACGCCCATGTGGCATGATGAAGTTTTGTTAAAACATGGTCAAAGGTATGGATATATTTTAGACAAAATTAATTAAAAAAGAAGAAGAAAAGTTTTAAGGAATAGATATTGAATATTATGAAACAAATGTTTTTAGTTACTTATATATTTTATGCTTCATTGCATGTATGTTTACTGATGTTATATATTTATAAGCTTAAATTGTTCTATGGAGACTAGTGCAACTAACATGGTTATATCTTATGTTATTTAAATATATTATCTAACTGAATAATAATTAATATTTTAGGAAATATGGTGAAAGTTGTCTTACAAATTTATAAATGCTTGATATAACTTTGCATAAACTTAGTCATTATATGTGCAAATTATTTACAAAATGTATATAAATCTTTGGTTCTTTAAACAATCTGTTGATGGATCCAATTGCACTTTAGCGTTATAAGTAGTTTAATGAATTTTTATCTTTTTATTTATGAAGCATTTGGAAAGGGTGTTATAGAAATTTTAAGGGTAATTTTTTTTAAAGCAAAAAAGATTTTTTATAACTATTTTTAAAGCCTTGGTTTGTGAATGACACACATTAAATGAATAAGAAATTACTTTTTGATAACTTACTTTTACTAGAAATTGTATTAATCCGTTTTTCTATTTGTGAAAAGTTGGCTAGCAGGTAAGTAGTTCACCTGATGGTAAGTGATTACCACCACTATAAGACCATCAACAACTCCTTTGTGGGTTTGAAGATGTAATATCAAACATTAAAAAGAATGGTTTCTGACACCTTCACCCACTAGATGCAAGGCAGAAGTAGAATACATCTTCAATACAACTTCATGCAAGTCTTCTGTTAGGCCATGGTACTTCACTAGATGAGCTTGCCGTTCGTGTAACAGCTGATGCTATTGTGTGGCTACAATAGCAATTATTAATGGCTTTGGGATAGCCAGTACAGCAACCTGCTTTCTCATCCATAGATTCATAAGTTAAAGACTGACAATGCTCTGTGTTGGTAATTATGTTAATTCTACTTCATTAGACGTCAATACAAGCAATAAACAAGAGTGTAAAAAACAGAGAACAACAAGAGAAGTGATTTAGTGATTGTTTTTAATTCCGATTTTTTTATATAGGGTGATAACAAGCAAGCCGTTGGTGGAAATTGATTTTTCAACACCCATGATCCAATGACACCTGTTGGTTTGCAGATGTGTTTGTTTAAAAGAATTGTCCCCGGTTACTTTACTCATGATATCAAATGCATAAGCAAAATATTTAAACTTCATATGGGTCTTGGTTTCCTGAACTAGCTTGCCTATTTATACTACGGCTAAAGCTACTGCATGAGGTCTTCAAATCTGCCCTGGTGGGGTCTTTACCCAGCAGAGGGAATTATCTGTATAAGCTATTTAATAACACAAACCCCATGATTAAAATGTAATAGATTTCTCTAGAGAAAGGGTAACCTTTCTCTTGAGATTTTCAATATATATACTTAGGCTTAAATCAATTAATGCTTAGACTTTCTTTATCAAAAAAATATATAAATGTGAGGAACCGAGTGTTTATTGTATGTAGTAAGAATGTACCTATGAAATATAGTAAAGTGACAGTAGCAATTTAATTTGATGTTACAACAAGCTAGAAATTGTCTATTCATTAGATTTTTATTTGATTGCTGCTCAAGACATATATTTATGTCATAAACATAGTTGTACAGACTTTTAATACAAAAAATTAATCATATTATAATAAAATAATATTCTAAGCTGCACTAAAGGTGAATGGTAGAATTTATATTGACAAGATTAGAATTACTTATACAAAATGTAGGAGATAACATGAAACATTTTTCTTAAGATAAAACCTTTGATAAATCAATTAATTATGTGTAATAATTTTTAATAGTAAATACAATTTTTAAATCATTGCAAAAAATTATTGAAATGCTTTCTGTGTAATATACTAAATCAGACTAGTTTTAAAATGTCTACAAATCTTGATTTCAATAACTAGTTAAATATGAAGTTATTGTGTGCAAATGCACAATTTTAATGTTTATTCTAAATAAGCATTAAGCACTATTTTATAATCACTAAAGTTATTTTATTTTGAACAAATTTAAATATACATTTCCATATTTATTTCCTTTGATAAAAAGTTCTCACATTTCATAGTGTACAATTAGGTTGTGACACTATTCAATTCTCTATATAATTAATAAATTTTTATTAATTTTACTACATTTAAATGTAATTGAAACATATTTAATTTAATGTTGTAAAATATTGGAAATTTAAACAATATGGTTCACAAAACATATCTCGGCCAAATATTTAATGTTGACATTCGAAATAATCTTATTCTAAGTTTTTACTAAAGGCGATAAAAACTTTTAACTGAAAAGTAAGTAGATTTGTTTTATGGGCTCATATTATACTTTCAAATCTAAATATATTCTTTAGTTAAGGTGTTGTCGATTTTAAATTTGTATTTAAGCATCAATCAAAGTGTAATTAAGTAGTCAACAATTTTAATTGTTTAAATTATTTAGTCAACATGTTAACATAATATGTGATATAACAAAAATTAACTGAGATTCTAAATTACAGATTTAAATTTTCTAAATTTCTTATCTTGAGAAATAAAAATTATGTAAATTCTTTATATGTAAGATATCTCAGTTATTTTTTCTTCTAGCGAGTGTTTAAAACATGCAATGAAAGTAGATAATTAATTTTCATATTGGTCTTAATAATATTATTTATTAGTCAACCAGATGATTTCCAAGCTATTGCTAAAACAAAAATATTGATCTGTGCAGGCAGCTTGGAAAAAGCGAAAGAGATAGAAGATAGGAATAAACAACAATATGCGGAATCACAACATAGGGAGAAAGTACTTGTTAGACGCCTTGCTGCTAAAGAACAGGAAATTCAAGATTATGTAGTAAGTGCAACATGCCAAATAATTATTTTTCTGTAATAAAGGTTGGCACCCATCTCACATGTTTTTATGTTAAGTTTAAACTGGTGACCTTATGAGGCATTGTTTGTGGCTACTGATTATACCATTTTATATTTTGCTGTACTGAAATATTATCGTTTTGGTTTCTTTTATATTGGTTTCAACTGTATTTTCTAGTTTTGATACATACATAAATGTTCACCACTAATATTTATAGTATAAATTATGAAATGCTATAACTAACATGAGTTCAACTTATGACTTTTGAAACTTGTAGAGAATCTGTCTGATAGATATGATTTACTTTAAGTGCTCCCTTTAATTTTAGTGCTCATTTAGAGGATGAAAGCACTTTTTAGCAAGCTTATGAGTATTATAGTAGGATATTTTGGTAATGGTGTGTTTTGTATTAATATAAATAACTTCTACAGAACAAAGTAAAAAAAACTGTGGTATAATAAAATTTGAAAATGACAACTAAACAACAAATTACTGTCCTTATTTTAATTTCCAGAGTCAAATAAATGAATTGAAATCCTCACATGCCAGCCTTCAAGGACGGCCAACGCTATTAGACCCAGCTGTGAATGTGCTTATCCTGAGGTTAAAACAAGAACTTACATCAACAAAGGCGAGATTAGAGGAAACACAAAATGAACTCTCAGCATGGAAATTTACTCCCGATTCTAATACAGGGAAAAAGCTCATGGCTAAATGCAGACTGCTGCACCAAGAAAATGAAGACCTTGGCCGGATGACATCAAGTGGTAGAATAGCAAAACTGGAGGGTGATTTAGCGCTGCAAAAAAGTTTCAGTGAGGAAGTAAAGAAATCACAATCGGGTATGCACATGGTGATGATATCTTTTATAAAAATTAAAAGCCATGCAAATTTTAACACAAATATTTTTTTTTTCTTCAGAGATGGATGAACTGATGCAAGAGTTGGACGAGGATGTTGAAGGCATGCAGAGTACAGTGTTATTCCTGCAACGTGAATTGCGTGCAACACATTCAACAGTTAACGGGAATCGGACTTCATCCCCAGCAGATAAACGGACTTACTCGGGCAGTGAGTGTAGCGACACGCCGGTCGGGAAAAGGAGACGTGCCTCCGTCCTCTCTCTAGACTATAATGAAGAAGAGGAACCGTTAACAGTGACGAACGGCGATGCGGACTAGCCCAGGACCACTGTGTTCTCATACCGAACACATGTCATTATTACGAACTAGTGGAAAAAATTGTGAAGCGTTGTTGCATCTTTTATTCTTATAACGGCAATTTCGTTCAATCGAAAATTTTATCAATGAATTACAACTGTGAGTGATTTGTATCAATTGTCGAGGTGAAATAATGGTTCGGTGTTTGTCACATAAACTTGTGAATGCTCCATGCGTTAGCACATTGAAGTGTATCATGTTTAAACAATCTATGTACTTTTATTAGAAGACAAAATTATACAGGCACACATGTGACACTAAGATTGACAATGAATTTGTGAGGATTGTGTGGAAATGAGGCAAAATATATGGTTAAACTATATTGTTTGCGTTTAAAGCACAACAGTGGACCATGTGATCAGATATAATAGTGAATTGTTTTGACATTGTTTTTATAATATGATAGTAAATATTGAGACAGACACTGAGTTGACAATTTTATAATTTATTTATGTAAAGTGCATTACTTAATTGTGATATATATTGGAGGTATCCTATAATGTATAAGCAATGAAAAATTTATATTGGGTTGCCAAATTACTTTGTTATAACATGTTTTTATTTATGCGCCTTAATTGGTGAAAGAGATTCTGGAAACAGTTGTAGCAATAAGAAGCCTAATATGTTTAACATTATAATTGCCACATTATTTTTTTTTAATTATTGTAAATTTCTACAGGAAATGTTTCTATTTTAAATTACGATAAATGTATATAGAGCTATGTTAATAAACATATTACTGGCAACTGATTCGGTTTATTATTTATATTAAAACAATTTTTTTTCTTTACATTTCTCTTTAGTACTTTCGGATCTCTGATTTTGTAATTGGGAGCGGTAAAAGCACTAAAAATGTGAATTGTACATTTTTGTGGATAAATTGAACAAAACCTTTTGGGGCTGCGGAATTCGAACCTGCGTCTTCTGGTTTCTGGCGTCATCAAGACGCTTTACCAGCTAAGTTCGTTCTATTGTATTTTTAGTAATGCTTTGCGCTATTTAGTGTGTCCTTTACAGCAGAAAACACATTACAAATAACATTAAACGATGAACATTTGTAACAAGAGATGTCGCCATTGCTCAAATATAATTGAATCTAAAATTTATCTAAAAAAGTTTATGAATATCACGCGATAAAATCCATAAAATAAATTCATTTGATATGTATAATATTCGCGCGAAACCATAAAATCAATGTATAAACATTGTTAATTTTTTTTTTCATTCTTTTTATCTTAGGAATGCACACTTAGATATGTTTACACATAATATGGGCTATACTATAACAGAATTAGAACAAAAAACGTCTGATTGAATTATTTTTCGTTGAATATTCCTCTATTTATTCTAATATATTTCTATTATTTTTTTTAAATTACTTTGATCTCGTAGAAAACAATTTCCTTTTGGAACAGATGGCGCTATTTTACAAAACGGTTCTGAATAGTCTGTAAAACCCTTCCTGTTTTTTTGCAGCCAGCACTGCCCGCTTCTAAGTTCTAACAGACAAATTACAACCACTAGCTACCAAAGCACCGCTGATTCGTGTCGCTAATCCATACTAATATTATAAATGCGAAAGTAACTCTGTCTTTCTGTCTGTCTCGCTTTCACGCCAAAACAACTGAATCGATTTGGTACACAGATAGTCTACGAAAGGACATAGGCTATTTTTAATTGGATTTTTTTTTAAAGAAAGATATTTAAGCGTGAAGCTGGCGAGGCGCTGGCGAAAAGCTAATGGAGAATAAACGTGAACCATAATAAAAGTATAGCAATATACTTTACACGGGTTTACACTAGAATCGATCACAACACATTACCCGAAATTATTTCAGCTTGCTCGAACAGGAAATTAGGGCAAGTAACACTTTTAGACCAACTTCAACTTCTTGGGAATGGGAATCTTTTTTTTTTTAATTCAAAAACTGGCTAGCACTTGACTGCCATCCCACCTGATGGTAAGTGGCGATACAGCCGTTGATGGTAAGCGCGCTAGCTCAGTAGAAACCTATTCACTCTTTGCCCTGAAGATGCCAACGTTGTATTCGGACGGAAAGACGGACGCCGGTAGGCTATTCCATTCCTTAGCTGTACGGATGATAAATGAAGAAGCGAATCGCTTTGTTCTTGTACGTGGGACGTCGACACCATAAGTGTGGAGCCCCGCCGAACGCCTGGTCGTCCGATGATGGAAAGGGGCGGGAGGAATAAGATCATGTAACTCCAACGCACACTCTCCAAAATGTATCCTTTAGAAAACCGAGAGGCTGGCGACTCTTCGCCCGTGCTCAAGGCTAGTGAGATTGGTTTTAACCAAGTTATGGTCACCAATGAGCCTTTCCGCACGCCTCTCCATTGAGTCCAAGGCAGCCAGATGGCATTTTGCAGCCCCACCCCAGATATGGCAACAGTACTCCACACACGATCGTGAGAAGTCTCACATCTGTGAGCCTTCAGGGTTCGAAAGATACATTTTACGTCTGACTGACTTTTTAATATCACAAAATCCTTGAGAAAAAAGTTCTTATGAATATGCTGTACGCGATGACAATTTTCAGGTTAAGTCCTAAAATTACAAGTGAAAGCATAATACTAACAAAGGAGTAGGCTGTTATCGGTTATTTTATATTGCCATAATATCATGGCTATACTAGGATACCAGCACCACATGCTTAAACGTGCAGTTTAACAATTCAATGTTAACAGTGTTGTAACAAATAGCCAAATATACAAATTGTAGAGTATAATAATTTTAGTTTTTTTTTTTGGTTATTGATGCAACGTTTTTATTAATAAACTAGCTTTTCGCCCGCGGCTCCGCCCGCGTGTATTACATTTATATCGTGCTTAAATGTAGCCTATAAACTTCCTCAATAAACGGCCTGTCAAACAGCGCAAGAATTTTCCAAATCTGATTGTCCCTGAGATTAGCGAGTTCAAACAAACTAACTTCAGTTTTGTAATATTCTTCTGACTCGCACTTGGCCGGGATTTTTTTTAACTTTATATAAACTTACAATCATCATCATTTTACAAACCATAATATATAGTTAAGTACAGTTCCATCCCATTGAACTGTAGCTATTATATAGCATTTTATCGCCACAAATCTTCAATGTGGTTCTTTAAGTTACAACTTCTTTATTTATGAACCGATTTACCAAAATAAAATTAACACTAAATTTTAAATGAAGTTTACTCTTGTGTCTTGTATTAACTGATGTTTGTGCTTTCAGTCCCGAGACTATTAAAGCTTCATCTGACGCAGACCTGAACCTTACTAGAATGCATTAGTAACTACTAGAATGCATCCAAATCTGTTAAACCGCTTCTGAGACTAGCGCTTACAGACAAACGGATAAACAGACAAAAATTTTAACAATCATTGTTTTGGGTTCTATGGTGTTGATAAAAGTCCCCAATAACAGTTTTTCTTAAATATCTTCCATGTACAGACAACGATCAGTTACATTTTTATTATATGTATAGATTATGCCAATTATTTGTTTAATTATTAGTGCTAGTCTCTGCACATTACTGACTTAAATTAAATTTGAACATATTTAATTGATATTTTAGTATTAATGATCTGAAAAACCGGTCACAGATTTTATCGCTGTTTTTAGAAGCTAAGTAAGTTAGTTATATTATGATAATTATACTTAACCTATACATTTCCGACGTGAAGGCTTGTTGTAGAACAAATTATAAAATTGCTGCTCTATTTGTTTCCCTTCGGTTTTGTCTACATATCACGACTTATATTAGCTCCAAGTCCACCGAAACTGATAGCCAACACCAAACCAACCTAACATTGTAATTTGAATTTCGTTTCTTTTTGGACCTTACACAGTTGATACACCCTCCACACACCATGACACTATGATATGTTACTTGTCGAGTGGTAGTTTTATATTATATATTAATTTTACAAAATCAAGTCAACTTTTAAAAATTAACCGGAACGTGCATAATCATTTACCAAAATGTAACGGAATCGAAGTGGATGAACGATTTTACGGACATAATGAACTTTTTACTTACCTGAGTCAATGCCTGTATAATATTCATTCAAAAAACGATAGTCGGCCGATTAAGGTATTTTCAAGTAAGTACACTTGTTTACTCCTCATATACTAATTTTATATTTTAAAACTTACTACCTTATGATTTACCTCGGTAAATATTGTAATTCATAAGTTTCTCCATTTATATCTAATAACAATCAATTAAGATATGGAAAGAGAAATCTGCGTTCATACTTTTTTTGCCGGCAATAAAACAATATTTTTTTTGATTATGTTATCACACTGCATTTGCAATAGTGGTGAATCATTAGACCTGTGCCTCCATCAAAATGATAATAAAACTTCATTTCTAGATGAATACAAGACTAGTTTAACTAGCTTTTACCGTAACCTGTTCGATAAGTTTATATCTTAAGCCCAGAGAAATTGGGACGAACAAGAAATCTGTAAGATATTAACGCAGGTACACTTATCGTGTCATAGAATTTTCTAGAAGTGATTGCATGTGCCACTTTTTTATCATAAAAGAAAACTATTCACTCTCATATGAATAATACAGGTGTATTTTTGATCACATCTAGGTATGTACATATTTATGATAAAAGAAACAGTTTTTTTTATTTGAAATGAATTCTTATTTTTAACGCGTTCAGTACATTATTCTAGCAGTTCGCTGCAGTTTCATCACTAAATTGGAATCAATCAAGAAAAAGCATTGGCACCGTTTAAATTTAAACGGAGGTTGTTGAACTTTGTTCAGCTTATAAGCGACGCATAAAACTCTGATTTAACAGGTTGCACTTCAATATAGTGATTTAGATTACACTTTTCAATATTTAAAAATTATTTTTTGTTGGTTCCTTGATTATTAATATATTTGCCAAAATTATTAATCAAAAAATAAAATTAGTAACATCACGTTACTAATGAAAACAGGCTAGAAAGTTCCACGGATTCTCTAAAGCACAACTCATTCAACTCGTGCATTGTTTCTAGCGTCCATCCGGGTAACAGTACCACTGCTGTGGCCAACTGCAGCAGCGTATTATGCCGGTGCGGGCAGCTGGGACTCATGCCTGAACACACACACCGTGTGGGTCATTTCTGGACAGCGTTCCATGACACCTTACTGGGGTCACACCGGGTGTGGGCCGCGTCGAACATTCCAGCTGCCCGCAAAATAATAGTGAACGGAAAGCTACTACTACCGCCCAAAAGCTGCCATCTCGCTCTAACGCTAGTGAGGTCTGGGAAGAGGAGGATCTGAGGACATTCAGTGGTAATTATCCATCATAGCATTTTGTGCAAGCAAACACTGCGCTGCTGCTGATGATATGTTTAAAACATGGTGCACTGGTTGAAACAAATGGGCGGTATCAGAGCCATAGTGCGTCCCCTCCGACGATGTTGACGACGGAGCAAACAACACATCAGGATCGACGAAAGTAGTCGGAATAATCTGTGTATGCCTATATGTGTTATTTAGGATGCAGGTGGCTCAGGAACGTATTCCGTGGCAGTCTATGGGGGAGGCCTATGTTCAGCAGTGGACTCAAACAGGCCGAAATGATGATGGTGTTATTTATTTTGTTTTACATTATCATCGGTTTCGTGGCGGATATTTTGGGAGATGTTGTCGCCGAGGCGATCTAGTGAGAATCTAAAAGAACAATGGCCGAGTTCGAGGATTACCAGCTGGGGATCTCAACGCCATATTTTAGGCGGCGGGGTCTCCCGTGGCAGACGTACGCTGTGACTAGTGATGGAAGAACTCAGACAGCCTTCCGGCTGCCTCTTCTCAATTGGGGTTCAGTGAACACTCGCATTCTTAAAGTACAGTGTTCGAAGCTGAAAGGTGGTACGGGCAAGAATACATTATTTGATATCCGTTCGATGTCTCTACCCCCGGAGACTAACCCTAGAGGTCGGCCTCGCACCAACTGAAACGCGAATAAAGCGGGGAACTGCCTTATCAACCATCTCCTTCAGGTAAGACATGCAGCTGTTTTATATTATATTTAGTAGAAAACATATTTATTATTTGTTAAGCTAAAATGCGTACATGAAATCGGACAAAGTGGCTTACAACCAAGGCTGTCCTCAGAACATCACAATGATTGAATACATTGAAATATATTATATTTAATAGTCGATAAATATTGAATAGTATTATTAGTATATAACAATTAATATTTCCTGGTTTCATGCACTCAAAGTTTATTTTTCAGATTTTTTTTTTCAATCTGCAGAGCCTATTAAGATTATTTTGTCATAATATAGCAAAAGGAAGAAAAAAATATGGACATTAAATGGGACTTTCACTAAGTAACGTTACTGTTAACGCCTTCGACGCGGGGCGGTATGAGTACGTATTCCCAGCTTAAGTCATTATTATTATTATTATTATTATACATGTTATTTATATACTTTGGCCCGAGTGGGTTTTAATTATCCCACGCGAACACACAACCAGGAAAATAAGGATTGATTATATGTCCTTTATATCTGAGGCGTGATTTCAGAAATTATTCGCATCTATGGGGTGAATACAGGAAACAAAGCAGCTTATAAAACATTTTTCAAATGTTAATGAAGCCCTATTTTAGTCCATTACGTCCTTTAGTGGGTGCCATATTCAGTTTAACGTGACGTCACAGATTGAATGATATGTGTGAATAATATACAAGTTACAAAAAGATATTTTATTTAATACATAATAAAGGCACCACAATAGTTACTTAATTCGAATTAAAAAATAAATCACTTTAAATACTTGACTAGTAATTAAACTCTAATCTAGTTCGTTGAAAGCAACTAAGCCGATTAATGAAATAGAAATTGAATGACAACTTTGTGCGTTATTTATACCGAAACATCACAGTCTAGCAAACGAATGACTACAGTCTTTATATATCTTTGATATCAAACGCCATCGTTCTCAAACAGTGGTCCCAATAAGCTTCTTCGACAAATCTAGCAATATAACTAGTCCGTACTCTTACGCCCGGTTTCTGAAAAACTGATCATCGTAGATGTCAACTAATCAGCTGTCAAATGGTTTTCAAATTTCATTTTAGTTGTCAAAAGGATGGTTAAACTCTTTGGATTGATCGTTCTGATCATTAGAAGATCATTCTGGTCAATTCAGAGAGTTTAACCGTCCTTTTTTAAAATGAAATTTGAAAAGCCATTGGACGGCTGATTAGTTGACATCTACGATGATCAGTGTTTCAGAACCGGGCGTTAGTACTTCTACTTATTACTTGTAACAATAACAACACACTCTGCAACAACTTTGTAACATGTGGTGTTATTTTTTTCTAGGAAGAGAAAAATGCAATACATTCACGTTCGCAGTAGACGGGGAACGCAAAACGGACGAAGATGGTAAAAGAACCATCCTAAAGAAAACAAACATTTAAATAAGGAACCCCGCCATTGAAACTAGATTCTCATACAGAGTTTAGCACATTATAGATGAATCAAAACTTCACATAATTTATATGAAAACAATGAAAATGATGTACAAGAAAGTCATGATCACGAAAGGGAATAATATTTCAACGGCTATTATTAGAATTTCCGTTATCACCCCCACCGCGTGTGTCATGGTCTCTGTGCCCAGCATTACACCTTAGCTTCTCATCTGCAACCCGAAGTCGCTCCTGCAATATCTCTACCGTGCGATTCAACAGCTTGATCTCCTCTTGAAGGGGGTAGAGCTGTATATTCATCTGCATTAGTTCCTTTTCGTGCGCCAATTGCAACGTGTGTAGCTGTGCAAAGCGTGTGTCAATTCCATTTTAATGTTTCAAAAAGAGATCAAGATGACCAAAGAAAAATAAAGAATAGAAACGTTAAAGTGGAAAACAATCAAGTTGCAATGGACTTGAAAGATACACAACAAATGATAAAATAACCGTATGCTATAATTAATAACAATCAGCGTGTGACCGGATTCTTAAAAGTGTAAATAATATATAGGTGATATTCAGGTGTTAAAAAAACCACAGTTGTGGTTTGTTTGTTTATTTGTAAGGAGCTGAAACCAACTAGGCTTCGCTGTGGCATTTTTTTTTCTTTCTATTGGAACTTCAGAATAAAAAGTATATAAAAACATTCTTACATACATTCAATCTTCAATATAATAAGTTGTGAATAAATATCAAGTCGATCCGTATGGAAGGTAGACAATTAATTTCTAATGCGGTTATCGGTATCGAATCAAATTAAACTTTTTTAAGAACAACTTTTTGGATCCAATGAAATGAAAAGTTCCAATATAACAATACCTTACCACCGAGGGAGCATAGGGCAATGTGTCGTGTGAATGTAACCTCGCTATAATGCCTCATCACGTGTAGAACTATTGACAATCTGGTCATATCAGTTAAGAGATTACTGGTTTGCCAATTTGTTCGCAATCGTAAGAAATGTTATACATATGGCAAAACAATGACAACAACAAAACCTAATGACAACTTACATCTTGTATTCGTTTCTTTTTCAATAATATATACTCTTCATTAGTTCGCTTGAGTGACTCCAGCAAACTTGCCCTTTCCTGAATAAGCATTTCTTTCTGCTTTTTGGTGTCTGAAAGTTCGGCTTCCCACTCATTAGTTACTTTAGCCAGTATATTTTCAACCGATTTCGTCTGTTTGCTCGGTGTCTTCTTTTGTGGGTGCAAATTAAGTAAAACTGGAACATGAGAAATGTTTAAAAACTGCAGATAAGTTTTGTAAATTCAAATTTCACTTAAAACTTTTTGCTTTTTTTATATAAATGTATTTTTATATTATGTATATGTATATTTAATATTTGTGTTTATTTATATGTCTGTATATATGTATATTAAAGTATATACATATATGTAGTTATAGTTAATTTTATAGTTTAAAAGTATTGCGTGATAGAATTGTATTATGTATTATATATTTATATTTAATAATTACTTATTATTTTTTTTCTTTTATATGTTTGTGCATCTACCAAAACTTCTCAGTACCACCCTAAGGTTGACTGGTAGAAAATGCTGTCAGCGTTAAGTCCGCCTATGTACTGTGTTTTGTGCATGAAGTTTAAAAATAAATAAATAAAAAAAAGAACTTAATATCGTTGCTTAGCTAAATATGAGACTCAAAACATCTAACCTTCCTTTTCTCGCTGCAAATTACGAAGATTTTTTCGTAATTCTTCAGTCTCTCTGTTGATTTTGGATATAGTGCGTTGCTTTATCGTTAATTCGGATTGTAGTCCTTTTATAGTAGCAACAAGATAACTGTCCTCTTTCAATTTGTTCATAAACAAGGCAGAATTTTGCGATAATCTGCTTACTGCGGACGAAGCTCTCTCCGCTTTCCATAGCGTTTGTGTCCCTACAGTATGGCTAGCTCCAGTCACAGTTTGAACTGCGACATCTTTTAAATCTGTTTTATTAGATCTATTCTTAAGGTCAGTATGCATTTTTCGATCTTCCATCAATTGTCTCTCAACATCAATAATGTGATTCTCGTATTTTTGCTTCATATCAGTAAACTTTTCTTGTAAAGTAAGAAGTATACTTTGAAAGTGATTTTCCTTATCTCTTAATTCCTGTTCCAATCGAGCAATTCGTTCTTCTAATAATTTCTTTTTGTTATCTTCAACTGTCGAAGACTTTGAGGCAACTAAAACAAATTGTGATTTTGTACAATTTTTCATTATAATAAGAATAAAAGAGCAAGCATAAAACTTACCAATCAGAGCAGAAACAGAATCGGGATGTTTCCTCTTTAAAATCATCTCCATTTCTTTAACCTGCCTTTGGAGATCCTGGATAACTATAACATCTTTTTCGTGTTGACTTGTTAAATTTCTTCTTTCGTTTCTTTCCTTATACAACTCGGATTTCAAGCCATTTTCATTTTCCTTGATTGTTTTCAATTCCGAATATCTGTTTTCATATTCTCTAGAAAGCTTACTTATAAATTTTTCACATTCTGATAATTTTAAATCCACAACATGTTTGTCATTATTAATTTGATCCAATTTTCGTCGCAATAGTTTATTGTCATCGGTAAGCTGTACATTTATTAGCTCAAGAGACTTAACGCGTTCATTTGTGTCCTTGAGTTCTTCTAATACATTTTCATGTTTGCATGTTACCTTTTTTGGTGAATTAGATGTAAATTTTAATTTGCCCACGTCCTTTTTCCTGGACTCAATAACTCCAGCGGAATAAGGTCTTGACTTTGCGTTACGGCGATTTACGCCATTGTCTTTAATATGTGCCTTTACCGATTCATTAATCTGTAATTATTTATCAGGATTTATTTACAGATACATGTCAGAGGATGACTTTAAGAAAGTATTGAGGTCTATTGACAAAATGCACACGAGAAAAAATTACAAGTGTAAATATTCTCATTTCAAAAGGCAAAAACCTTATTTGGATTTTTCAACACAGGGCGTTGACTTTCGTCATGAAAATAGATATCAATATAAGTAGGAGTTTTTAAAAGAAGCAATCATATTTCACTTCGATACACTCACATATTAGGAAAACATATGGAATAGCTGTTAAAGATTATCAGAAGTATTTGAGAATCACAACTGATTTTCCTCTTCTTACGAAATAACTGCAACTTGGAGGCAATGACCGGTCATGGCGCCTCTGCTACGTCAAGAAAGAAGGTTGTCATTCTGGTTTGAAAACAAACGTAAAAGACATGATGACTCATAATCGGGGGAGTGTACTTAACTTATAATATTTTATTAGAAAGTTTAAAGATTATTGAAATTAATGATTGTATTATGCTAATTTAAACTTTATATATATGGGCAATATCGAGTTTATTTTGCCAATCAATTGCGCACTAGAATGTCTATATTCCTCATACAAAGTTTAAACAACATTAAAATCCAAGCTATAATTGCTTTTTCAACAATACAAAACAGAGTAAATATTCCGGATTATCTAACGGGATCGTTTTGAATTCACACATACACAAGTGGCCCGGTTTTACAAAGACAATATGTTTAGAGTACTTCGTAAAAAGGGGCAGAATTATCAACTTGTCGCGTAATTTAAAAGCCATTATGCAGCCGATATCTGATGTATACAAGACTTTGTCGTCGGAGTAGAGCTTATAAGTCAAGTGCGGGCTGGTCACGAGCATCAATGCCGTCTCCGACGCGTTGACCGTAAGTCCTGCGTCAGTAGCCATGGACTTGTGGACGCGGACGGCCGTGCTTTTGCTGGTGACCTCGACGGTGACCAGCACTCCGCTAATAAACGAGCTCGCGCCCGGCAAAGGTAAGATTATGCTACGACCTTTTTTTTTTCTCATGTCAGATAAAAATAAGCAAATTAGGGAAACAGCCTATAATTTTATTCTCTCTTTAGCTGTTCCATTTCGCGCGCACAGTTTGATTAAAACAAGAAATCTTAAGTTTACCGCTGTACCGTTTTACCTGTATAACTTACGGTTGTCCCGTTTTTAAAGCGAATAAGGTATACGCGACACAAGCTGAGCGTACAAAAAATATCATTGTGGTTTATATTATCTTTTTTATGTAAATATGTATTTCAATTTTTATGTAAGGAAAACGAATAGTGGATTTGTATGGAAATGTTTTTTTTTATTTCTTCTCAAGAATTCAAAAAATTGATTTCGGTAATTTTCTTTCGGATTTTGTTGCCTGTATTTTTAGCCGTTATTAAGTTAAATATACTTCATCTCCGCATTATGACAATCATTATAGGAAGAAGACCGTAAAGTAGTTTTCTTCCAAACAGAATATTTCATATTGCGCAGACATAGAATTTGCATATCAAGCGGGCGTGGAAATGAAAGATAGGATGAAATCACTTCTAACAGTAATAAGATTTTGAAATAAAATTTGTCTTTTGGCAATATTACCTAGCTTTTTACAATTATAGTAACAGTAAAAATATTACATACATAATATGTACGTATTAATACTTTTTTACCGCCATAAATTACAAATTATTAGAACGTAATCAATGGTACTATTCATCATCATCATCATCATCAGCCGCAAGACGTCCTACATAGGCCTCCCCCTTAGAACGCCATATAGAACTACACTTTGCCATTTACGTCCACCGGTTCCCCGCGACTCTTACCACCTAGAGGGAGGCCTTCCAACGCTACGTCTTCCGGTTCGCCACTCGAGAACCTTTACTCCCCATCGGTCATCAGTTCTTCGAGCGATGTGGCCTGCCTACTGCCACTTCAACTTGCAGATCCGGAACTTGCAACGGATTCGGCATCAATATCAACGGCGAATCCCACACCTCACCTTCGTTTTGCCGTCGATATAGTCGCTGGAGGACCTTAACACTATGCTCAGGGCCCTTAGTAACGTTTCCCAACAGGTGGGTCTTAAAATGAACATGGGCAAGACGAAAATGGATTTCGGTGTACCAAAGTCGTAAGCGTGAGGGGTGAGAGCGCGATTTCAAAACTACATTCTTGAGAACACACTTCTTCTTCTTCTTTGATTCTCTCTCTCTCTCTCTAGCCTCTCTTAGTGGAATTCTGCCAATTTCGTGTCACAGAACAAATTATAGGCGGAAAGTGTGGTCTTAAAACACGTCATCATCATCCTGCCCTTATCCAACCTAGGTGGGGTCGGGACAACATGTAAATCATGTTGTAAGCCGTTTAGGTTATGTTTTTAACGACCGGAAAGCCTTGGGAAACGAGCACCCAGCTCCGGAACAATTATCTGTGCGTCAAACATGTACTTGTCCCGTGTGAGAATCGACCCTACGACCCCCGACGCCGAAGCTAATAGCTTAGACACGGGGCCACAGAGTCGTCGGTCTTAAAACACACTTTCTGTCTATTAATTGTTCAGGCAATACGCTAATAACTGGTCCCATGGTTTGTAGTTGTAGTACACGAATATCGTCGCTAGTAAATAATGTGATATTCGAAATTAATTTCTAAGGATTTTTCTATTTGCAATTTGATAACATAGAAATGAAGCTTCTTTTCAATACTATTAAAATTACTGCCTATGTGCTTAAATTAAATCTAAACCGAGAAAATGTCAGCTTCTTTAAGTTTTACTTATGTTATTTGTAACAGCCCATATATGGACGAGATATTAGGAACATGATATGTCGTTAAACTATCAGAGCGTAGCCTAGCCTGAGATAGAGCTAACGCAGAACCATTTTTTTTTTATAAAAAATATATGTATAATTATGGACTAGGCTGGATTTTTGTTGTTCCAATATAAGTTAATAAAAAAAATACACCGTTAGGAAGGCTAAGATCAGACCGCCATTGGAAAACATACGTTGATCGGAGAAAGTCATTAGGAACGTGTGACGCGCTGAACGAGTAGTGAATTTCAATTATATTATTCCATTTCTCATGCACCACATGTTCCCGGTCGTAAATAAACTGTAGCCGATCGATGACCATGGTAATAAATCAATCGAAAGAAACGTTTTGAACTAGTTTCACTTCGTTGTCATTTCACATCGTTGCGAAGACCGAATATTAGGTCATAATGATTTATAGGTAACAATAAAATAGTAAAATTTCGCGAAAATATACCGTTATTGGATACTTTTTCTTATACTAAGGCAAATCGCTTGTTGCCAGTGACCTGTGATCGAAATTAATATAAACTTTTACGACTTTATGAGATAAATTGTTGAATATTTTTAATCCGGCGCAGCCAGGATTCGAACATGCTTCTTCGGGGTAAAGCTTACAGACTCTCGAGCCATCTAACCAACTCAGCTAAGCACCCGATAACCTTACGGCGCAAGAATCTCAACATCGACCAACAATGTATATTTGCGACTTTTTAGAAACCTTTGGCACCATCTAATGACCATTTTTACAGTAAACCGACAATTTCAAACAAATTTTCACAAAGACTGTGTAATATTTTTGCTTATGCTATTGAAATTTACGATTATTTTTATTTTTAATACTAGTATGCATTCAAAATTAAACTTAAATGTGTTTAATAAATAAATTGCAAAAAAAAATTGTATACATTTAGTTTAATATTTGTTTACTACAAATTGATTGATTATGTATATTATATATCACTCAGACCGATGTTTATCACCACCAAAACTTACATCTACAACTAGCATTTTAAAATTTAATAAAATTGTATAGAATTTGAATATAATAAAACGCTGACTAAAATTCACGCAAGCTTTTTGTATTTGAATATGGCCTTAGATATTGTAGGTACTAAACAATGGCTCTGGACGCTATCAAACCAATCTAATGTGCATTATGTAAATTCATTGGGCATATATCCTTTCTGCTGTCTACAAAAGGTTGCACTACATACTATTTAAACAACGCGTTTACACCAAAAGTATGGTTCATGTAATGGCCCCTAAAGTACAATAATATATCATCATGTATCTCTTTAAAATTTCGGCCCTAACGTGAATAACTTTTCAGAATGGCCGCAAAGAAACTCTGTGAAGCAACCGCTGGACGATGAGAAAGAGACAACAGTTTTACCTTTAACAGAGGGGGAGGCAGCAACACAAACCGAAGACCCAACCGGTAAAGTCGAGGGTCCAGAGGAGGTTGTCATCGATGCTTCCCCGCCAATTCTTAGAATTGGTGGAGAAGGCAAAGTGGACTACACAGGAGCACAAGTGTGGAAGGTTTCTACAGAGCGAATAAGTGTCCGGGGCGTTATTACTCGATTAACCAGAAGGAATTGTAAGATTTTATTATGATGTTCAATTTTTTTCACATGATATAAGAGCATATTCAGATTGGTATAATTTTTAGTGATTTCTACGTGGGGAGGAAACCAAACGTCAATTGACATTCTTGTAAAGTCCAATGCAGTAACGAACGTTACACGGGTGTTTAAGAGGGAAAGAATACCCATCGAAGTGCTCATAGAGGATTTGCAGCAGAGAATTAACGAAGAGAATCCACCTCTAGATGCCAATGAAATAGAACTACAAGATAGAAGAGGTTTGTATGCGTATATTTTTTCCTTAAATACAGACACCGTTGAAATGTAAGAACGGCGCAAGTTGAATATTCCAAGGGCTCGTGTGGTTTTGTTGCAGCAAGAGCTTACAATTTTTGGCGTTACAGGGCTTCACCTCGTCGTAATAGTTTGGTAGGTGCCTACTTGGGCTACAATTCTATCGATCTGCCTATGGAGTACTGGCCGTATGCGAATTGGGGTTCGTTCCACGACATCAAAAGATTTCTCACGTGTGCCCTAACTGACTGATTTTATCAACCTTAACTAATATTAATGTTTAATACCTGTTTCGGTTAGTGGAGTGTTAATATGTGTTTTACTACTTCGTAACTAACTGAGGGCACATCTACTGTATGTGTTTCTCACCGAGTATATTATATGGTGACAGTGGAAATCTCCTAACTGGTCGGTTTCCTAACGTACGGACTTTTTTCCATATATGCGAAAACGTTCTTTGATAATTTTCGAGAAGCGGTGTAATGTCATAATATGGTCAATGACCCAGGTTAATATGTAACAAATTTCATTCTCAGGTCACCGTATGACTTGGAAACAATATCATAGAGTCGAGGATATTCACGGTTTCATGGACTACTTGGCGAAAACGTATCCGAAAATCGTCAGCGTAAATTCAATTGGGAAATCTTACGAAGGAAGAGACTTAAAGGTTTGTCAGAATAATTTGTTATAAACCATACTTATATTATTCTATAGCTTCATATCTATGTTATATACTCAACTGCAACTCTTACAGGTTTTGCGTATATCAGACGGAAAACCGACCAACAAGGCCGTTTTCATAGACGGCGGGATCCACGCCCGCGAATGGATTAGTCCCGCTACAGTCACCTACTTCATTAACCAGTTTGCGGAGAATTTCGACGTTGAAACCGACGACATTAAAAACATCGATTGGTGCGTATGCATTATAAATCCAAGCTGGTTTGGAAGTTTACTAATTAATACTACAGGGCAAGAGTGAACGACTATACTACGCCGAGATAGGTCATTGTCCGGGCGCTCGCTTTTAATCCCATATACTCGAGCAACCTGAGTTCTATCCCCGGTGTCGGCATCAATGAAATTGTTATCGTTAAGTGCTGTCTTATCACGTGCTCAGCGGTAACGGAAAACATCGTGAGGAAACCTGCATCTTTTTGAAACAATAACAAGAAAAAATATTTCGAAGATATATACGCCGCGTGGTGGACTATGCCCTGATATCCTCTGTACAGAAGAGGCCTTTGCCATTTAGTGGGACATTTATAGACTGTTACTTTACTTAGAGTGAACTGTATTGAGCTGAGCTTGCGCAAAGCGGGATAGTTAAGCGTTAGGCAGTCACATATAATAAAATACTAAGACTAGCGAAGTCTATTGTCTAAGTTTGTCTATTTCGTAAAATCGTACAATATGGGTATTTTAACCAACTACAAATCAAAATTTACTTTGTGCGCTTGCTAATGAAGAATAAGATCTCATAGTCTATCTAGAATTGACGCTCTTATTTGCAGGTACTTCTTGCCGGTGGTGAACCCAGACGGCTATGAGCACACTCATCAATCTGATCGCCTATGGCGGAAGAACAAGAAGCCGAGCGTGGGCTCACGAGGTTGCGTTGGGACAGACCTTAACAGGAACTTTGGGTGAATATTCATTGGGTGAAGTATGAGTAGGTGACGTGGAAGTGAAACTGACTACGAACTGAATAAATTTACTTGTAGTGTACATTTATTCGATTAGATTCCAAATTACAAAGAATCTGTTGATAATATTCTTCACCGCCAACTTTAATAGTCATTTAACAAATTTTAATTATATTATAGTTCAAGTCGATTTTACGTTAAGGCGATGTTTTATCTAATTTTCTGCTGTCTAGATATCGCTGGGGCGGAAAAGGTTCATCGGGCAACCCGTGCAGTGAAATTTACCGTGGCAGCAGAGCGTTTTCAGAGCCCGAATCGAAGGCACTATCGGTAAACACATTTGTTTTTGCGGATCCCTGATTGTTTTTTGGTATTTCAAACATATTTTTATTGACTTTCTATGATGTGAATAGACTAGAAACGTAAAATGTTTCATGATTATAAAACTTTTTTATGTTACCACGACACAATACGTTAAATATGTAACCAAATAATTTGTCGTCTATAACAGTAACATTGTAAAAGACTATTGTTTTTAAGTAATGCCCGGAAATATCTGAAGAGTTTGCCACGAGTACCTTTCTTAATACGTTTCAAAATTGAGGCTGATAAAGATATCACGTACTTATGTTATTACCTTAAGTCGTAAGAGTGTTAAGAGAATTATCAACAAATACCGAGACGGTACTTAAGAAGGTATTACGCTGCTCATTAAATGTCAGTTATTGGTAAGGTAACAACTTATCGTAAGTGTATCCTGTTGAACGCTAATCAGAGCTGTTGTCTTTAGCGGCCTACGTTACGTAACACCAGCATATTAAAAGCTATAATAAGGGTAGATAAGTATTCCTAATCATGCCCACCTTTTAGAGCCTAAAGGAAAAGTAAATTAACAGCCGGCAAAGATCTCCTCAGAGGGTATAAGCATATTCATTCTTAAACGTGACCGGTGATGAAGTGACTGTCGATTTATAATCCACTATTAAATAGGTTAGCAACGCAACATATTCGCCGCACTCAGAGATAATTAATTCTAGTAGTTAGCTATTATAATAAACTCATAATGAATCATTTCTCCCAATTAATTTCAGTTATAAAATGCTAACATTAAAATGAAGCACAAATTCTCTATATATATATTTTGGCTTAATTTCACATGTTGTAAAAGGTTTAGCTAAATTTTTACGACAAGCCGCCTACATGACGTCAACCCTCCCTTGGAAAAACATGCAGATCCGGAAGAATTATGTGTTGGTCACACAAATGATTATAATGATTGGTATCACCAATTGGGAATCTAACCCACAATCTCCAGCGCCGAAGCCAATAGCTTAACAACTGCGCCATCAAGTCAATACCTTAGTAAATTTCAATAATTTTCACTGCTTTCTTACACAGGACTTCATCAAGAACAGTGCGTCTAAGTTCATAGCATATTTGACATATCATAGCTATGGTCAGTATCTGCTTTACCCATGGGGTTACGACAATGCTGTACCCCCAGATCACAAAGATTTGAATGAAGTTGGAAATAGGATGGCTGCGGTAAGTAATGGATGCAAGGTGGTAATTTTCTAATATATTTTGTCTTAATCATTTATTGTATGATTGTATGGTATCATTTAAAATATGTTATAAGAGAAACATAAGAAATTATATTTAAAAAGTATCAAAGTAGTTAATAACAAAATTACTGTATATGGGATTCTAAGTTTGTTACTTTCACTACCAATGGGACAGATTTGAATGGATTATCACTAATCTAACTTTACAATTAAAATTATAAATTAAAAAAATTATGAAAAAATCTTATTTTACTGTTAATTTTACTGTTGATTTTTTTAACAAATTATTCTATGTAAAACAATGAATTATTTTTTATGTTTTAGGCTATAAAGCAAACTCGTGGCTCATCATATCAAGTAGGGTCATCCAGTGGACTACTATATCCAGCCTCAGGAGGTTCAGATGACTGGGCAAAGGGTGAAGGCATCAAATATTCCTTTACAATTGAACTTAGTGACACTGGACGATATGGTTTCATACTACCCACATCCTTTATTGAACCTGTTGCCAGAGAGTCATTGAATGGTTTGAGAGTGCTTGCTGCACAAGTGGCTAAAGCATAAAACTATTTATTGCAATGTAAACTGCATTTATTAATTTAGGTTATTTTATTTATTATGGTAATGTAACAATATGTTTTAAATATTTAATCAATAAACATTGTCTGAATAGCACTATTAAACAAAAAAAATAATTACATGAATTGTTGTTTTATTTATTTAGTAAATTAGCATAGCTTTTTATACCAGTATTACACAAGATATAACAGAAAACTTTCAATTTTATACAAATTCTAAAAAAACATTAAGAGCGTCATTCAAAAACTTTTAAAGAATTACAAAGAAAGTTAATGTAATATACCTACTGTTTTATATGATAATAATTAATGAATAAATTTTAATAAGAGAAAAATTAAGATATCATAATTTTATACTTTACAGTAAAATTCAATTAAATTTAAATTATAAAATATGAGTCACTTAGATAGAGAGACTTTTATGAACTTGCTCAAACGGAAAAATTTATAGTTACGTACCTTCTGCAGCGTAGCGATTTTGCCATTCGATTTAGTGTCTTTTAAATTGGTGGCTTTTGTAACTTTTATTTGGGGAACTTTATCTTCGAAACTGGGTAAACCACCATTTGTTATTCCTACTGACGGACTACTGTTCAATAAATTTTCAGTCTCTTGTGCAATATTTTCCGCTCTTTTTAAAATTAACTCTACATCCTCGACCTCCTCTCCAATTTCACTATCTCTGGTTTTAAGCGAAGACAGCTTTTTAATTTCGTTAAATATGATTTTGATCTCTTCATCACTATCCTTGTACGATTCACAAGATTTCTCGATAAGCAAAAATTCCTTTTGGAGTAAATCTTCGCTAGTATCTACATTACTAGCCAAAGAATTGTTAGCCATTCTCTTTAATTTATATTAATAACTAAAAAGTCATTAACTAAATTAAACTTGTCCAAAAGAAAATTTAATCAAACATGGTTGCTAAGCAACCGCATTGTTTTCGTTACGTTTATAAAACTAAGTTCTTTTTTAAAAAGGCAATACTAAAAAGCTTAAATATCTAAAACATTATGTGCATACCACTATTAAACCATTTTTGTGTGTACATACTTTAAATTTATTATACAAAAAAACACAAACCGAGAATTCTTTTATAATGTTAATTTATTAAATAATTTAATATAACTGGGACCTAATCACTAGTAACTCAGTAGAGTTACTAGTGATTAGGTCCCAGTGTTTAATCGGTGGCAAGAAGTGATCTTGTTATATTCAGTAGGTAAATGCATTAGTTCTAGTAGTAGTAATATCCTAGTAATGGTCCATCGACTCAAGAAACCAACGCAACGTACCTAGTGTACGACGACGACACCATGATGCTTTCCGCTCCAATTCCGAAGATCTACAATATGACTAATAATGACTGGCAATGTGCCAACGTACTTAGCGTGTTTGAAAAAATAAAGTCCCTAATTATTCTACTAGTATTTAACTTTCAAAAGGCGTCATCATTATTGTGTGAACATTTTTTTCGCATTTGATTTTTAGCGCCCCTTGATATCCAGCGCCTAGAACGACTGATGCACTTGCCCTTGCGCCAGCGCTGCTTGTTCTCTCCTAAATGCATGGCTTGTCTACCCGTCCCGTGGACCTTTTTCGTCAAAGTCGCTGGGCTAACAATTAATAATCTTTGCAAAAAAACTGCTATAACAAAGTTTTGCAATCTGTGCAGTAGTAATGTCATTATGTCAATTTGACAGAATTGTATTATTATTATTGTGTGATTGTGTATTTATCAAAAAATAACTTCTTGTTACTTAGGTCATTAGGTGTTACAAGTCGTGTCAATTATTTTATTTATTTCTCAAACACCAGCTCACCATTTAAACCGAGATGTCAGTGCCACCACAGGCATTTGTAAATAAAAATAAAAAGCACTTCTTGGGTATCCCTGCACCTTTAGGTTATGTAGCTGGAGTCGGTCGAGGGTAAATCTTTTATAAACTGATTTGATACCAAGTTTTAATTTCTGTATTATTATCTAATTTAATAATTAATGTTTCAGTGCGACAGGTTTCACTACTCGATCTGATATTGGGCCAGCTCGGGATGCAAACGATGTTTCGTGAGTAGATTTTTGTATTGCAGTTTATCGAAACTAATAAAAATATGCATTATTAAAACACTGTTCGTTTAAAATTTTTAGTGATGATCGACATGCTCCTCCAGCCGCTAAACGTAAAAAAACAGAAGAAGAGGATGATGATGAAGACTTGAATGATTCCAATTATGATGAGTTTTCTGGATATAGCGGCTCATTGTTTTCAAAGGTAATCATATATCGGTAATATAAATGGGAAAAATATATTGGAAAACTATTCCATATTAGTATCTGCAGGCGTTGTTGTGAACACATTGTAAGAAGTAAAAACTAAACTTTGATAAATGTAGATTCTTGGCAAGGACATTACCTATATTCATAACCAGAATCACATATACAAGATAGAAATGATAAGTTAACAAAGTAAGAAAAATTTTTTAAATATTTTTTTTTTATGTAGCGATTACAAGTACTTTACTGCCCTTGTCATTATGTCTCTGTTCTACCTAGGGTTAGCTGGTAGAGAATGCAATTTAGCATAAAGCTTGCCTTTGTACAATTTTTCGTGCAATAAAGATTAAATAAATAAATAAAGTAGGGATAACAGTCAATTAAATTTGAGCATTAATTTGTAATTGAAAATCCATATATTATAGGATCCTTATGATAAAGATGATGCTGAAGCTGATGCAATATATGAATCAATTGACAAACGGATGGATGAAAAACGAAAAGAATACAGAGAAAAAAGACTAAAAGAAGATTTAGAGAGATACCGTCAAGAAAGGTAAGTCACTGTAATCAAATAAACTTATGTTAATGTGACAGTGTTTCACTGTTTGTTATGTAGTATAGCAATTCTTTATAGTTAGCTGATTAAAATGTTGGTTTCTCACATTGTTTCTCTTGTGGAACATGTCATTAGATTCCGTTGCGCAGTTGTTGCATACTTGATGACTCCGTGGCGCAGTTGTCAAGGTATTGGCTCCGGCGTCGGGGGTCGTTGGTTCGATTCCCACATGGGACAATTATTTGTGTGACCCACAGATAGTTGTTTCGCGTCTGAGTGTTTGTCCACTTGAAATTTATGTTTGTAAAACGTCTCTACAACTTCCTAAACTAAGGGCAATGTTTTAAAAATAAAAAAAAATATTTAGTAGTCTTAAATTTTACAACTTTTTTTTTAGGCCCAAAATTCAACAACAATTTTCTGATTTGAAACGAGAACTAAAAGTTGTCACAGAAGAAGAGTGGGCAGCAATTCCGGAGGTAGGTGATGCTAGAAACCGAAAACAGCGTAATCCACGGGCTGAGAAATTCACTCCATTACCTGATAGTGTTCTCTCAAGGAATCTTGGAGGGGAATCTTCATCCTCCATTGACCCCGGATCTGGTCTGGCTTCAATGATGCCAGGTGTTACAACTCCAGGAATGTTAACACCATCAGGTATGAAAATAAGACACCATAATTACATTTTGGATCAATATTTCTTGTGAAATGGAGAAAACTTAATTTTCTTTATAAACATTATAATTTGGTATGTATTGATTCGTTTCATTTCTTCTCTTTCTAGGTGATTTAGATTTAAGAAAGATTGGTCAAGCTAGAAATACTCTTATGACTGTTAAACTATCTCAAGTATCAGACTCGGTTACTGGGCAGACAGTTGTCGATCCCAAAGGATATCTAACAGACTTGCAATCGATGATACCAACATATGGTGGGGACATAAATGATATTAAGAAGGCACGTCTGTTGCTGAAATCTGTCAGGGAAACAAACCCTAACCATCCCCCAGCATGGATAGCTAGTGCGCGACTGGAGGAAGTGACAGGTAAATGATTAACCTATTTTACAGGTAAAGGAAACTATTATTATGCTTCAATACAAAATGTAAGATGTATGTATAAATATAAATTCTAATGATGACAAAGGCTCAGCTGGCTCTTTCTATTAGTTTTTTAACTAATAGCTGTATAAAATTATATGAAGGCATAAAAGAATAATAATTATGCCAACTAACATAATCAGCTTTTCTCTTGTGATCTTCTGTCGAAGATACATATGATTTCTTTCATGTTATTTGTTATACATTTGTTATTACTATTGTGGAATCACACATTGGATGGCTTGATCTGGGGCACACCAAACTGCGGTCACGCGGCAAACCGATGTGGAATAACAGTGTTTATATTATTGCATTTCATAAGATGTTCGTAATTGCCAGGCAAAGTGCAATCAGCCCGCAACCTGATAATGAAGGGGTGCGAGGTGAACCCGAGCAGCGAGGAGCTGTGGCTGGAAGCGGCTCGACTGCAGCCGCCTGACACGGCTCGAGCGGTGATCGCCCACGCCGCCAGGAACCTCCCGCACAGTGTGAGGATCTGGGTCAAGGCTGCCGAGCTGGAGCAAGAGACTAAGGTAGGCCGCTCGGTGGGCTTGCGTGCGTGTCTGCGTGCGTGCGTGAGTGAGTGCGTGCGTGCGTATGTATTAGAGCAATGTTTTTAAATTTTTTTGATTAAACGACGCTTGCCGAAATCTTTAAAGAATGATTCTCTTCACTCAAGACGAAATTTAAAAATTTGTTCAAAAATTGATTAAACGTACAGTAAAATACTTAAAATAAAAAAAAAACAAAGTTAATAAAACCCTTTGATTTTCCGGAAAGCGCGTATTGCCGGAAACGCAGTTTGAAAGAAATCCACGCAGCGGCGAAAAACATCTCGTCCATTTGTCTACAAATTTTTAAACTTCATAACTTTTCAATAATCATCGAACAAGCGAAAATGTTTATTGTCGTCGTTGAGTCTTTAAAATATCTTATATATCCGTTGAACACAGTCGAAGCGTCGCGTGTACCGCAAGGCACTGGAGCACATTCCCAACTCGGTGCGCTTGTGGAAGGCGGCCGTGGAGCTGGAGAACCCGGAGGACGCCCGCATCCTGCTGTCCAGGGCCGTGGAGTGCTGCCCCACCAGCGTGGAGCTCTGGCTGGCGCTGGCCAGGCTCGAGACATACGAGAACGCCAGGAAGGTGCTCAACAAGGCCCGCGAGAACATACCGACGGACAGACAGATTTGGGTCACGGCCGCCAAACTGGAAGAGGCGCACGGTAAGTTATTATGTTATTTCTCAAAGGTGTTTTTTGGGGGTTTATACCAGTCAAGTTTGTCATAATATACCCACAGTTCTTCATCAAATTTAATGATTCAACACAATTTTAAAGCTTGTTTTGTTTGCTTATAATGGACAAGTAGAATAAAGTAGGTAAATATTTTCATAAAAAGATTCTCACAGAGAATGTATAATAACGCCATCTAATGACAATTTGTTTAAATGAAGGATAGTGAAGTAGATGGAAACATGTTACTTTTCAAAACCAAACCTATCATTGATAAATACTCATATTTTACACATTCACTGACAGATCAAGGTACCGTGCGAAATTTTACACGGGTCAAGTAGCTTAGTCATTATAACAGCCTGTTTATATTTATACAAAAACAGATTTTATTACAATATTAGATAAATTTTTAACAAAGGAGGTGTTATATTTACGAACGCATTTTATTTTATTCTTGTTGTAGGCAACACTCACATGGTGGAGAAGATAATAGACCGCGCAATTACCTCACTGAGCGCCAACGGAGTGGAAATCAACAGAGAGCATTGGTTCAAGGAGGCCATGGAGGCTGAGAAATCAGGAGCGGTTCATACTTGCCAGGTATCAATATAGTATTGTTGTCTATGATAACTATAACCCGTATATAATCTTTATGACTAGTCGATATTTAATACTTTTGAACGCGTTTTCAAGTTTACATTTTGTTCTCTGTAAAGTGATCGAAGCGTCGGAAGTTCAGAATTAAACCATTAAATTTGTTTTATGCAACAATGTAGGGAATCAATAAATTTTACAAATTCTGAATTTTCATAATAATGAATCATCCTTTGATAAATTTAAAATAATAGAAAAAAAAAAAAGGATCTTTCCTAACACAGCATCCGGTAGTGTAAAATAGAAGTAAAGGTTAATTAATAGTTAAATAAAGTAACAGCCTATACAAGTCTCATTATTGGGTAAAGAAAGGGCTCTTCACAAGGAATGTGCACAGGGTATTAGGGCATACCTAGTTCACCACGCGGCCCCACTGCGGATTGGGAACAGTACGAAATTTGTTAAATGTTTTCTAATATTTCTACAGGCGATCATTCGCGCAGTGATCGGCCACGGCATCGATCCCGAAGACCAGAAACACACGTGGATGGAGGACGCTGACGCCGTAAGTAGCTGATATTATTATTCCATTCTGCGATCAGATTTTCGTCACATAATCCGAATAGTCGACTGCTTACGGGCAGTTGGAGTTTCACATGTTGTGACCTTCTGTAATTTTGTTTACTTCTAGACAGATTCTAGTTAGATTGCGTCTATTTGTTTTATTTTGTTAAGTGTCGACACTTCGTCATCTAGTAGCTTATCGCCGATATTATACAATGAAGGACCAAATTTTCTAAACACACTTTATATTTTACACTTTTCTTTTAGGTACTTCTATTTCTTCCTCTTCCTTCTACTGGACTAAATTCTCTAGACAAGGCGTTGGATTGATGACATAAAACGAGTAATCATAACATTTTGTGGAATATTTGTATATTTCTATATAATTCATATTAATATCTATATAATTTATATTATATGGCGATATCACATATTTTTAAAGCTTATATTATAAAGCTAAACACTTGGCCTTTATGTAAAGAAATTATATGATAGATTATAAACTTTAATAATAAATAGAAATAAAACTTAACAATAAAAACATCTGATTGATCCAGTAACTTTTACGTGATGCGCGTCACAGACCATTATTTTATTCGTGGAGAAGATATGGTTGATATTACTCTGTCGGTTAACAAGAAGATATGATTGACATTACTTTGTCGGCTTAACAATACGTTGGTGCAACGCAGTGCGCCAACGAGGGCGCGTACGAGTGCGCGCGTGCCGTTTACGGCTACGCGCTGTCGGTGTTCCCGTCGAAGAAGTCGATCTGGCTGCGCGCCGCCTACCTGGAGAAGCAGCGCGGCACCAGGGCCAGCCTGGAGGCGCTGCTGCAGCGCGCCGTGGCCCACTGCCCCAAGTCCGAGGTGCTCTGGCTCATGGGCGCCAAGTCCAAGTGGCTCGCGGGTGAGTCTCTCCCGCTCGTACCCCAACTCATGGGCACCAAGTCCAAGTGGCTGCGGGTAAGCCCCTCCCCTCTCGCCCTCAACTCATGGGCGCACGTCCAAGTGGCTCGCGGGCGAGTCCCTCCCCTCTCGCACCCCAACTCATGGGCGCCAAGTCCAAGTGGCTGCGGGTAAGCCCCTACCTCTCGCCCTCAACTCATGGGCGCACGTCCAAGTGGCTCGCGGGCGAGTCCCTCCCCTCTTCCACCCCAACTCATGGTCGCCAAGTCCCAGTGGCTGCGGGTAAGCCCCTCCCCTCTCGCCCTCAACTCATGGGCGCACGTCCAAGTGGCTGCGGGTAAGCCCCTCCCCTCTCGCCCTCAACTCATGGGCGCACGTCCAAATGGCTCGCGGGCGAGTCCCCCCCTCTCGCACCCCAACTCATGGGCGCCAAGTCCAAATGGCTCGCGGGTGAGTCCCTCCCCTCTCGCACCCCAACTCATGGGTGCCAAGTCTAGCATTGCTTTTTTTAAATTTTAAATGATAAAATTTAAATCACTGAAGGTAACACATCAATGCTAATTTCAATAGATAAATTAAATTGTCGATAATCTCGTCAACTGTCTACTGTTTCTATTACATTTCTAACAATTTCTCTTTTAGGTGACGTGCCAGCCGCAAGAGGCATCCTGTCGCTAGCCTTCCAAGCCAACCCCAACTCGGAGGAGATCTGGTTGGCGGCCGTCAAACTGGAGAGTGAGAACAAAGAGTACGATAGGGCGAGACGGCTGCTCGCTAAAGCACGAGCCTCCGCCCCAACGCCCAGGGTGTGTTTTTCTTTATTATTTATTGTACACAAAAATAAACTCAAAAAAATTTTAGGATTTAAGATGAACGTATAAAAGCGAGCTTAACTAAAAAGAGTTATCTATCAGCAAACCCCTGACATAAGACTACAGACAACTAATGATAGGTATAAACTAAATATGCTTTTATTTTAAAATAAGTATGTACTATAAAAAATTATGATTTGATACAAGTAAACAAAGCATAAACAGACTACAACACATACAAATATACAATAAATATAGTATCATTAAACATATTACTATAATACATACCGATGATATTCTATGCCGTTAGAGTTTAAAAATACCTATATTATATCCAAATATATGTATTTTTTCACTCCAAATATATGTATTTTTCACATATATTATCTCCAAATATATGTATTTTTTCACTTCATTCGACTTTCCCGTCTCTGTCTCTTCATATCACACGTTGGCTTACTTAGAACTGTTTGATGTAATTCCGTACCTTCCATCCTTGATGTCAATGGACATATTTCATAATAAAACATTCGATATAATAATTTTCAACCAACCAAATAACTTTTAACTATGTATTTGATCCTGCCAAAAAGTGTACAACGTATTCTCGTTTATTATTCAGGTGATGATAAAATCGGCCAAACTGGAGTGGGCGCTGAACAACCTGGACGAAGCGCTTAACTTGCTGGACGAGGCGATAAAGGTGTTTGGAGACTACGCCAAGCTGCACATGATGAAGGGTCAGATCGAGGAGCAGATGAATAGAGATGATGACGCTCACAACACCTACACGCAAGGGGTGAGTTATTATACCTTCGTTCTAAATCTGCTGTTATTTTTTTATTATAAAAATTCGCTCTTACAGTATGAAAACGTTATCCTGTGTTGTAAGGACGCTGTCCGCTTGCCTAATGTGAACCCGCATTGGGAGTAAACACCAAATCCTGAACAATTATCGAGTATCCATAAAAACAGTTGCCCCCTGTGGCAAGCGAACCCATGACCGAAGCTAATATAGCTTAGCAACTAAGGCACCGAGTTAACATCATATGTTATATGTGCATATATGTTTAAATTACACCCTTTTCTTATAAAATAGTTTAATCCACAAAAAATTGATATAGACAAAATCAGAATTTCAGAATCAAGACTCTGAAAATAACCTTTGTTTACGTAAACACTCGATCTTTATCTGATTTGAACCTATCGCCCGTTAAACGGAAGTAAACACAACTGATCCATTGAGTATATATTAAAGTGCTTTAAGCTTAGGATATATTACAGCGCTTTTACTTATTGCAGTTGAAGAAATGCGCGACTAGCGTGCCCATGTGGATACTGTTGTCGAGGCTGGAGGAGAAGTTGAAGCACGTGACCAAGGCGAGGTCTGTGCTGGAGAAGGCGCGCCTCAGGAACCCAAAGAATCCGGAACTGTGGTAAGGCCCTGATGTACCCACTTTCGCCTTTCGATCAGTTTTGACGATGTGGAAGGCAAGAGTAAAACGGCTTTAGTGAGTACTGTAATAATAAATGTGATATATTGAACACTTAGTTACACATTTAATGACGCGATAGATAGATAATGAGACAGTACAAATCGTTTATACATTTAGTGAGCGAAAATCTCTTGAAACCGTTTATGGAATGAATTATTATTAAATTGCCGATGCTTATGCTTACTTGAATATTGTTTAAACCTCGTAATCATCGTGTTTGAATATGACAGAAATAAAGGTATTTGTCCCTCTATTAGTTTTTTTTAAATCCTATGGATTAAAGATCCTTTTTAATTGTCCATTAATTGTCAACAGGCTGGAAAGTGTAAGACTGGAGAGGAGAAACGGCAGCGCGGAAATTGCTAACGCCGTGATGGCGAAAGCCCTACAAGAGTGTCCGAACGCAGGTCGTCTTTGGGCGGAAGCCATATTCATGGAGTCTCGGCCGCAGAGGAAGACAAAGAGCGTGAGTGTTTATATAAAACGCGGGAAGCGTGAACCCCTGTTACTGCAATTTTCATGATCTTCGACGGCCGTGGGCGTGGTCGAACCGAGGCTAACCTCACCTGTCGACCATTGTGGTCGTGGTCCAGCTGTGGCTAACCCCACCCTTTTTTCCTTAGGTGGACGCGTTGAAAAAGTGCGAGCACGACGCCCACGTGCTGCTCGCCGTCTCTCAGCTGTTCTGGAGCGAGAGGAAACTGAACAAGTGTCGCGAGTGGTTCAACCGGACGGTGGGTTTTGACTTATAATTTTTGAAGTTATATATACCGTGCAATATAACCTACAGGTTAAGATCGACCCGGATTTGGAGACGCGTAGGCGTTACTATTATGACCGTGCGGTATAACCTACAGGTGAAGATCGACCCGGACCTGGGTGACGCGTGGGCGTTCTTCTACACGTTCTTAATATTATTGACACTGTTATTACCGTGCAATATAACCTACAGGTTAAGATCGACCCGGATTTGGAGACGCGTAGGCGTTACTATTATGACCGTGCGGTATAACCTACAGGTGAAGATCGACCCGGACCTGGGTGACGCGTGGGCGTTCTTCTACAAGTTCGAGCTGTTGCACGGCACCGAGCAGCAGCAGGAGGACGTGAGGGCGCGCTGCAAAGCGGCCGAGCCCCACCACGGCGAGAACTGGTGCCGGCACGCCAAGGACATCGCCAACTGGTGCTTCAGCACCGAGCAGGTGCTGCTCCTCGTGGCCAAGGACCTGCCCGTGCCCACGTAGGCCACCACCACCACTAGCCGACCAGCGCTAGACCGCGTCTGATGCTTGTAAGTGTTTTATGGACCTTAGACATCTGATGCTTGTCAGTGTTTTATGGACCTTTAGAGGCCGAAACGACCAGTGCTAGACCACATCTCGACGTAGGGCAACAACACCACCAGCCAAAACGACCAGTGCTCGACCACATCTGATGCTTGTCAGTGTTTTATTAGGGGACCTTTCATGGGACTGCTTGGTACGTGACTGTTATACTTATATGTGGCCATAAAGCCGTCGATGAATAACGCACGACCTCTGAAAAACTCTACCTCTTGTCTTGAAGACATAAACCTTACCTTTAACTTAACCTTGCATTGAAGACATTATATTCGGATGGAGAAACAGACAAGAATCTTAAGGAATAACCTTAGGCAATCACAACACAAGTGGTCAGGAAATGCAACAGTTTAAATGATTTATTCCTATCCTCCGTCGTGACAGTTTCATCGACAAGTCGGTATATGCTACAACAAAAACCTTAAATACAGGTTATAAATATAAATATTACGGGACATGCTTTTACACAACGTTATCTAGTGCCACAAAAAGCAAATGCTATAATATGCTAGGTATATGGCACATGTATAATTAAACATACTTTTAAAAAAGTAAATACAATCCTGTACTATGGGTACACTAGGCAACTGATAAACATACTTTTTTTTTAATACATATTAGTGATATATGAAAACTCAGGCACTACAAACACTAAAAACATTGTACATCACACAATATTTTTCCTGTAGTGGATCGAACTCTCAATCTCTGGTATAAGATACAAGTTCTATACGGTACCTTCTGTGCCAATCAAGCCGTTATAAAACTAGCCTACGGGTAAGCATCAACTGTAATCTAGCCTAACAACCTATTATTTTTACGCGAGAACTACAAATGTAAACCATTTAATTGAATAAAATTACCGATTTATCGCGTTTATTTTTAATAAAAATTCCATACGTTTCGATAACTATGCAGCATTAATGGTCACGGGAGATATTCAGTATAAAAATAAACGTGATAAATCCTTAAAAGTAGTTTCATTTAATAATTTGATCTACCCTGTTGATTAGGTTAAAGCCAGGTAGGGACAAAGATTGAATGGTATAAATCTCTATATATAAAACTGAATCGCTGAATGTGTCGGCTAAGCGCAAATCTCGAGAACAGCTGATCCGATTTCGTTAATTCTTTTTTTTTATAATATTCCTTGAAGTACGAGGATGGTTTTTACGGAGAGAAAATTTTAAAAAATTGCCTGAAAAATTTAAAAACAACACTTTTCTGTATTTCCGTACAAAAGATTCGTAATAATACTTAAAAGTCAATTTGAACTTTAATACGATACCAAAAATTTTAAGTGTTACTGGAGGGGTTCCGCAAGACAAGTGGTAAAATGTCACGTGAAATGTAAACGTCTCTTTGCTGAGCATCACCAAATAGTATAAAACAAAGTCGTCTCGCTGTCTGTCTGTCCTTATGTATGCTTAGATCTTTAAAACGCAACGAATCTTGATGCGGTTTTTTTACTAGATAGAGTGATACAAGAGGAAGGTTTATACGTATAATACATTGCACCCCTAAGAAGCCGGGCGGGTCGCTAGTTGAGTATAATAATAAAAAATGTGAATTTCCCCATAACTAGTGCGTTAGTAAAAAAGGGAAGTGCAGCCAGCTGTTAATGAAGGTAGGGTTTATGAAGTCAAAATAGCAAGAGGTATACATTTAATAACAAAACGGGTAGGCAGACGTTACTATAATAATAAAATATCTTTATTCACATAGACGCTTGCGCGTTCTTATGAAACGTCGAAATTTTACAAGGAAATTAATATGTTCGTAAGTTACCACCGGTACTAAAAGCGGTATGCAGCCACTCAACTTTTCTAGTAATACAGACGACGGTGAAGACTATTTAATGTTACACCTCACTCTAATATATAAAGATAGACATTAACAGTGGTTCTTGGTTAATTTTTTCTGCAGTTTAATCTACTGATAATAGTAAGAACAGAAGAAATTTGTAACCCAACCTTGAACGCTGGACAAATGTTTCAGTTCTTTCATTGGCAGATTTGATTGTATCTTAGCAGTTATAAGGAAAATAAAGAAATCAACAATCACACAGACGGCTGGAGAGATGTTTTTTTTTTTTTTAAATCATTAGATAGTTTTTTTTCTGTTTTCGTTGAACTTGCAGATTCAATAATTACATATGACTTAAAATCTTTTAATAATATATAGTTAATAGGCTAGGTTAAGTCATTTTAAGCCTAACTTTAATCCCGATTCAGTACAAACTTGCGTTTTATGTCCTTCATTACTAATATATCTGCATGTTATTATATACTACACCGTGTGTATATTTCTATGACCTTTATTAAAAAATTCAACCTAGACTCCTTCAAGACTATGTCAACTGAAATATTTTTGCATTGTATAAATGGAGTGACAGCAGAAATAGATGTATTTATGTAATTATCCTTATAAAGTTATATTCTTGGTAAATGAAAGTATTGAATTGCATTGTGTGTTTATTTCTGTCCAATGTCTTTATCCCGTAGAAATATTTAAGTCTATACTTATACTATACTATATTATACTATAACTACTATACTATACTATAACTGATTTTGGTAGCTTTCGCCCTAATTTACAACGATTTTTAGCCGGAGCCCAATTTTCAAAAGGTTGTCAACGCATCTGCAAATCCTTGGGTGTAGCAGATGTCCATGGGCGGCGGTATTTACTTAACATCACGTGAACCGTCTGCTCGCTTGGCAACTTTTCACATAAAAAAAAACGATTTTGTGTATCGTATTCAATTTTCATTTTACATAGATACAATTTATACTCTTAAGTAAATTTACTCCGACCGAGTACTCCCTTTGGCTATTAAACTTATAAAAAAATATGATTCTCTTTATGTGAGGCGGTGGCAAACGAGCTGACGGTTCACCAGATGTTGCGTGATAACCGCCGCTTATTGACATTTGCAACACCCGTACAGTTGCAGATTATTAGAGTGGGCCCCTGCTATCTCACCCAACAGACGAAACGCAGAAGTATAACACTATCCACCTGCACCTACCACAGTTAATATAAGGTACAAAAAGGAAATAAACATAATTATTAAACCTAAATGTAAACTATTTTTTATGTTGTTATTATTTCGTAAAATCCCCTTATCTTGCCTTGACGTTTTTTTTATTCCCATCCGATTAAAATTTTATTTTTTATCATAAACATATATGTTAATAAAATGTATAATGCCTTACAGAAACAAAATTTAAACAGTAATTTAATTTAAGAATTTTTAAGGTAGTAATGTAAACCATAGTGTACATTACAGGAATTATTTCTTTGTAGAAAATTTTTATATTTACACTGACTTTTTTTACATGACTGACCTAATAATGTACCAGTTCTCTTATGGGACATTTTTAATTCCAATTTTGGGAACAACTCCGAACCAAACATAAAATCCCTTAATAACGCAACACGCATAGTCCGAAACAAAAAAATGCTACACTTTCTTACCGATTTAAGTAATAGGATGCGAATCAATACTATGTTATTTGGCCTTAACGCTTTCTTTTGAACAACCATAACCTGGTACTTACTCTTGTTACACTTGTTGAATTTTTGCGCAAATTTAACTTCGGCCTCTTTAAAAAACTAATATCACATATCGTTCGGAATTTAGATTGCGTTATTCATTTTGCATTTATGCATTATGCATTTTGATTAGCTTATTCAATAATTATAATAAGAATTATTAAAACAATTTTACAAAATACGCAATCGATTAATAGCGTTGTTGCATTTTTATTTAAAACTATAAATATCATAGCATTAAAATCAGAATGTATTTGTTATTGCATTTTTCGTTAAATCAATGGAGTAACATCGTACGCGCACAAGAAACACAAACGGCGTTCACACATAAAAAAATCTATAAATAAATCTCGTATTTGTGCGTCTTAGTTGCGGGAGTGCGAGTGAGCTGGCCGCGTGCCAAGCTCGACGCGCGCCTGCGATAAATAGATTACACGAATTTTTCATTTCTTCCCAATTCCGTGTGCGAAAAGACGCAGCATCTGCGATAGTTATGCACAACCTGTAGCCTATTTCCAACCGTCTTTTAGTGTAGTTTGTGTTGTGCCGTGACAATGTCCCCAAAGTGCCCAGTGCCGCATCTGCAAGACATAACGCTCTCTTTGGTCGGCAGACAATTGATACACGCGCTGTCTCGTGTTACTTCCGAGGAGGATGTCGCCCTGCCCTTCGCTATGGTGTCCTCTTACTACGAGATCATGGGCGCCACGAATGACATATTTCAGGACCTCCTCAATCTGATACTCAGCTCGGATTACCTTGAGCCGTCCGTCCGATACTTGTCAATGAAGCTGCTGCTGAAAGAGAACGTGAAGAGCCTGGTTACGGGCGTCTTCCCATGTCCGTATTACAGGAAGGTCCTCGAGTTGATCGCGGAACAGGGGCGACATTTGACAGCGCTCAATTTGAAAGGTGTGTGGGTGAAAGACGAACATCTGCCGCTCTTCTACGAGCTGATAAAGAACCTGACAAACTTGACCACCCTCAATATACCTTACATGGCCAACGACGAAGTGCTCAAGTTCATCGGCGAACACAACAAAGTGCTCAAGTTACTCGACGTGTCAGGTGAGACGGATATAACGGAGATCGGCATCGACGCTATGCTCACTAGCAACCCTCAGCTGACTCGGAGCCTGACTGTGGTGAACATTGGTATGTACGGCGAGGAAAATGTCGACCATACCGACGTGGCACTGCTCATTCGAATGCTGCCCAACCTGACGAACCTCGGCAGCTATTCGTTCGTGGGGAAATCCATCTACCACATCCAAAGCAACGGCTGCCCGCCAGATTTCAAAACTAAACTACAGTACATGCACGACACCCGGACCAATTTGAGGACGATGAAGGCGATAGTCGCACTGTGCCCCATGTTGGAGACAATATATCTGGAGGAGCCCGAGCAATCGGTGCTTCAGCTTCTAAAGGACTTGAGCTTCGTGAACAAAATCAAACTGAACAAGTTCCAGTGTCACGAGCTTCATCAGCTGTTGGACAAAATTGGCTACAGAATCGTGACGCTTATGCTGTCGGCATCGTTGGGTTCGTTCAACTTTACAAGGATAGCGGAGACGTGTTCAAATTTAGAGAGCTTAGAGTTCTACCAGATACAGACGGCGACGCACGAAGAGGAGGTACCGTTTAATAAATTGGAGCACATAGAAATAATACACGGTAACCTTTCGACGCCGTGTTTGAAGTATTTAATGACGTCCTCACCGAAACTTAAGAAGTTAATCATTGGGGATGAAATCCTACTAGACGACAATGATATATCACGGTAAGCGCATGTTTTTGTATCACATAATCATAATCTCTTAACGAGTGCCCTATTTATTGGTTTAAAATTGTTACTAAATATTTAGGGCAATAATCATGTATTGTGGCCCTTACTAGAAATCTATTAATATTTTTTTTAAAAGCGGTGTCAACATTTAGTTTATGGTCGCAAGGGCCCAACTTACTCGAACCGTTCGCCTTATTAAACTTTCAAATAAAGTTTCATAAATGGGCGAAATTAAATTATCTTGTACTAATCTACTCATATTTAGTTCATTGCTTTTGAATTACTTTTTAATTTGCCATTTCATACTTAAACAAGGAAATGAGGTGGCGTATTTTCCCACGTTGTTATTTTTAAGTTTACTTTATAATACGTTATTAATTCGTCATCCTATGACTAATATGACTTCTTTATTGTTTTGTTAAACATTTCCGTTTTTGAATTTGCAGAATGTTGCGCCGCTACAAATTCGACAATCTGGAAGCGCTGTGGTTCCCAAACGCGCCGCGGTTGACTTGCAATTCGGTGGAACTGTTGATTGAGACCTGCCCCAAACTGCAGAGCCTAGGCCAGCTCAGCGGCTGGAGGTTCACACCGGATGAGATGATGCTCATGAGGGCTATCTACGCGAGCACAAACACCGACATCATACTGTCCCCCCTCGGTATATTCCAACAGGGAAGTTAATCCAATACTACCCGTGAAAAGTGAATACTTTGACGAGTCATTTAGCTTACATTTCATTGATAAACACTACTTTATTTTTATATTTTTAATCGAATGGAACCAATTTAATCGAAATTTCCAAAATTTAATTCAAAATAATAATTGATGACTCCGTTGCGCAGTTGCCAGTATTAGCTTCGGCGTCGGGGGTCGTGGGTGCGATACCCATAAGGGACAGCTATTTGTGCGACCCACAGATAGTTGTTTCGCATCTGGGTATTTGTCTACGTGTAATATATTTTTGTAAAACTTACAACACAGGATAATGTTATCCTAAAGTAAGGGCAATGTTTTTAAAAACCAAGAAAGAAAAAGTTATAATCAAGTAAATAAAGTTTTTCGCCGAATGACTTGTCAAATTACGGAAAACAATCCTAAAACGCTCACATTACTGTTCGCAAGCGTAAATCGACATATATTAAATAAGAGTGATCGGGAGACGTAGATTTTTAAGTTGTGCTCGTCTGGACGTAGAGTACCTCCTGCATGGCTGGTGGTGCGCGGTTGCATGCATCAAGCGGTCCATACAGCTTATGACCGTGGAGATTTAAAGTGTGAGGTCAGGACGCACAGGAGTTGGGGAGGGAGAAGAGTAAGGATAATGCAAACGTGAAATTAGTCTCAAAATTCTCTTGTGTTGTCATTTTATTCGTTGATAACATATAAATAAAGATGTATTTAAGATTTTTTTACCGTTGATATAAAATCTTCTTTATTATCCTTTTCCAATTTGTTACAAATGTTCTATTTACTTACACTTAATGATATAGGCCACCCGTATCCAAATCTTACTTATGTTCGACGCGAGATTGATATAAAAGTAATCTCTGGCCTTTTTTATTAATTAAATTTTTAGGGATACATCTCTGATCTTATCTTTAATAATATTATTCTATTTAATTGGTCAATGTTAAGTGAGTATTTTTTTACTTTATTATGAAAAAGGACATAAACAAGCAATTGGGTCACCTGATGAGAAGTAATTACCGCTACTCACCGACATTCGCAACACCACATTTACGCCTTAAATTCGTTGCAGACCTTTGAGTAGGAACAGACTATCTTCCTTAAAGACACCAAGTCTATTGCAGGAACTATCAAGGTTAAATTTACAAAAGAAAGCAGCTGCGATCAAGTGAATAGCGAGCAAGCAATAGAATAGATGTCAATAATAGTTTAATTATGATGGCAGCGCAAAGTATAACGTAATAACGACCAAAAATATATACAAAAATAAATTAGGAGGGCAATTATTGCATGGTTCGAACATCATAACAACAAAAATATTTCCATTAATTTAATCAGAAAATTGTACACGTTAAAAATAGGCTTTGGTCACAAAAACAATATAAATAAATCGCGTCGTGTCATTCTCCCGCCTCTTCTTTGGATCGGGCGTTCTCGGAATCCTTCGCTTGCTTTCCTTTTTGTTTCAATCTCAATTTGTACATTTTACATTCATCCGCGCATTTGGTGGTAATAATGCTCCTGTAAACAGATATGACATCTTTTGCTGTATCACTTGACTATACTTAATAAAATATAGCACGTAGAAATGCAACGGTATTCATATGGGAGGATTTTAATCAATTGCATTTAACTTTGTTTGAGATAAATATTATAATTTAACTTTGATAAAAAGAGGACTCGGTGGCGCCGTTGTTGAGCTATTGACTTCGGCGTCGGGGGTCTTGGGTTCGATTCCCACACGGCACTTGTGTGACCCATAGATAATTGTTCCGGATCTGGGTGGTTGTTTATCAAGTATGGTTTGCATCTAGCGGCCGGTCGGAAAAACATTCCAAAACCTGTTACAATACGATTCACATGTTGTGTCTAACCCACCTAAGTGGATTAAGGGCAGGTGGATGATGTTGAAAGGTAAATAAATAAAATAAATTTATTGAGACGAAACTCACCTCACCAGATTTTCCTTTACTTTAAATCTAGACGTGATTTCTATGATAACGTCCGAAACAATTTTGGGATCGAGGCACATTTTCGCCGGCTTATCTTGGAAGGCTGGCGACCGTTTCCCGGTGAGGGAGTGAGTGGCCAGAATCCTGCAAAAGGAATGACATCACAAATTTTCTTTATTCATGGATTTATTAATACCTCCAATTAAAGTCAGACTCATAAAATCGTCTTATATTTAAGTTTGTGTAATTAGTAAAAGTAGTATTTAAGTTTTAATTAAATATTTGTTTAGTGATTATATAGTGATGACTTTTCGAGTACTTTACAGAATTCATGGCCAAAGGGACTGCGACTAAACGTTGCATCGCCTCATCAGTAACATATTGTAAAATAGTTCCACTCAGACTTATTTGCATTAAATTGCACGTCTATTTAACGCATTAGAGGTATTTTTATTATTTTATATACAGACATGCTATGGCTCTAAATAAAAAAAGGAATACATGACATTATTCCAAATGTTAAGATAAATTGTACTGTCCTGTTAGTATTTTTGTACCATGTGTAATTATCGATTCCCAATCTACACCAATTTTATTAAGGAGCAATTTTTGCTTCATTGAAGATCCTAGCGGCTCCTCAATCTTGCCGTTTCAGAGTATGGCTTTAAATCCTCATAAGAAGCAAAGTCTTACGTACTGTCAAGGTATACTTCAAATACGTACCTCCTGGGGAAAGTTGCTAACAATAAGGTTCGTGTTGCAATCGTATAAGACCGCCAATTAACTTTTCTGTATTTGTCTTTGTGTATTAATGTTTTCCCGCTGCCTATCGGTATCTGAAATGTCGACGAATCCACTTTAACAGAAGTAATGCAATAATATCAACATGAGAATGGTAAATTAAGGAGATCAGCTCTGGTACAGACTATTATCTACTTAATTTCATATGTAATGTTAGTATAATCGGTATGCTATGGTTGGTACAGCGTTGGTATAATTTAATTAAGCGGTTAATACCGGGCATACCTTCGCTATTAACATAAGTGTATCAAGCCCGAGGTGATCAATTCTTATACAAAAATTTCTTAATGTGAGGTGGCAAGAAGGCTGGTGGTTCACATGATGTTAAATGGGTATGCATGTATTTTGTCATCTGGCAAAAAACCAACTTGCGATACAGAAAAACATGAATTTAAACGTTGATAGTTCCGACATGAGCCCTATGAACGACTTGATTTATTAATCAAACAAGATCTACGATGCTATATTACCCATTCCTCCTCGTCCCCGCCGCCAGATTCCTGACGTCGCACGACGGCCTTGTCGTACTTATTCGTGATGAGTACGTTGTCGTCGGAGCGGTTGGACTCGACGCTGTGGCTTCTGTCGCTCTCGCCGTCGGAGACTCCTGCCGTGTCGTTGTTCGACGCGAGCTGGATCCTATTTAGTTCGCTTGCACGCTTAGCCGTCTGCGGTTTGAGGTCGTTGAGCAGCTGGAACAGCTCCCTGAAGCTGGCCTTTATCTCGAGAATGTCCTTTACGTTCACACTGACGCTTTCGACGCGCCCGCCCTTGCCCGAGTCGTTGGGCGGCGTTCCCTTCCTGGTAGAGTCCGGCAACGACTTGACCGACTCCCGCTTATCGTTCCTGTGCGCGTCGATGTATTTGTACCGTCTTTTGCCGTTCAGTGAATTCGTCTGCCTCGCCTGGAGCACGTTCGGTATTATCGCGTTAGGCCTGTGCGCCGGAACGGGACCTTTTTTGCCGCCCCTTTTGTTGCAGTACTGCCTCGTGCTCGCGTTCAGTTTGGCCCTCTTGTCTTCCTCCTGTTGATTTAAAGATGTATTGACATTCGCCGCCGACGGGAATAATTGTCGGACGTCGTTTACAACCGTCCAAATTACCTGCTATCCTTACCTGCGAGCCCCGTGATTTGTGAAAGCATAAAAAAGAAAGACCCAAAGCGTTCTATTTGGTTTAATTTAGACTAATAAGCGCTTATTAGATGTGATTTATTTTGAGCATGGAATTCTGCGAAACAGCGTGAACGTAGTCAGACAAATTAAAGGGATGTGGTAATATCCTAATATCTTATTTTTGCGTGATATAATTTGATTAAATTATACATACATTTTCATTTCATAACAGTTACTATTAAAAACTGCAAAATACTTTTTCCTTTGAGTAGTAATGTACAAAAAGTAGGTACTAAAATTATTATCAATTAAAGTCATCACAGTAATACTTGGTATTTTACGTAACTAAAAAGTTTTTAATAGTATTATGTTTCGTGTTATTCAATATTTGAAAGCGTTTCTGGTATTTCTAATGGGAAATTAATGTTAAAAAAAGTTTATTTTTATTTTCAGATTAAGTTATTTACAGATTCGATATTTGTTGAGATATTGTAGTTTAACTTCCCTTTTGTTAGAAGTTAAATCGTTAATATCTCAAAAAGGTATCATTTCAAACGCGGAACAAATATTAGCACTCTTGTTCCTAATACATATAATATTTTTTTATGACGGTAAGTCAGCTTTTTAAATTTTCGCCATAATTTGAATCAAGTTCCAAATAAGGGCGGCGTATGCCCGTAGTAACAATTACAATGTGGACTTATATACCTCAGACTCTTCAGAGGATTCATTGTCATCACTCGGCTCCCAAGATGACGCACTTGATGAGAAATCCATGTTTTCCTGTTGGATACTCGGCCCCCCCTCCTCGTTCTGTTCCACTCTTTGGACCTCTTCGGGTAAACATCGCCCATCTGTTCGATTATTGCGAAATTAACGCCAAAAAGCCATTTGACAACTGATTAGTTAACAATTACGATGATCAGTTTTTCACGAACGTTAATGTACGTATTTAAAAACGTCTTTTTTGTTGTTTGAAATTAATTTTTGCTTATGTAGCTTAGTACTGTTATAGCTTAATAAATATTTACCTACTTTAATTTGAACTTTACCATGTATTAAAAGTTATAACTTAAAGACTCAAAAACGTTTGTTGAATTAAAGCGATAATTACGATTACTCTTTTAAATGAAAATATGTTACAAATCATATACAAACAATATTATTATATATTATTATAATTAACAACAATTATTTTTATATTATTAGAAACTTATTGTCGTTTTTAAACGGTTTTATTTAGCTCGACACGTACGGAATTTATTTGTTTATTTGGGTCAAAATTAGAAATTGAAATTTAAGCACCTTTCCGTTGTCAGATTGATCTGAAATTTGGTACACACATTTAATTTAGATGACAATACAATATTGTAGTTTTCAGTGCACAAAAAAAAAACAGAAAATAAAACCGTTTAACTTAAAACTTTTTAAACGGTTTTATTTTAATTACGCTGTTATGAGAAATTTGCTTTGAAATATCATGTTCACATCTATTTGGCTCAAACTGTCTTTTGTATGTCAGAAACTACAATATACTATAGTATTTCTACCCGATTACGTACAACATATTGATATCTGTGATTTTTAGGAATGTACTTCTTAGCTTTTGACGTAAACCACATCCATTTGGCAAGCCTGATATCGTCTTTATGTTAAAGCACCTATATTGAGCACATGATATTTCTAAAACTAATCAGAATTTGTTTCCAGCAAAGGATCGAACCCGGGAGGGATTATTATGACCACGGGTCACGTTACTACCTACGGATAAATTAATAGCAAAGACAAAGAATAATTCACATCATAAATACTAAATAATTCAAAGATTATATAAGTATTATAACACAATATACGTCATTACATATTTATATCACACATATTTGGATATAAATTATGTGTTTCAAAAAATATCAAAATATAATGTACCATCACATGGCAAAACCACGATAGTGAAAAGTTACTTTATTACTTGTTTGGTTAAAGATAAAACAGCTGTAAGTTAAAACCACCGTCACGGAAGTGAAACCGTTAGGTCGATTGGGTGACTATTATCATCATTGGTACATACATAGTTTCGGTAAGCTATTTTAGAGAAGTTTTCTCTATTATATTTAAAATATGTTTAAGACCTTCTTTCTTTGGATATTAAATAATAAGAAATTATCTATTCGTAAATAAATGGAAAAATAACTGTACAATCTTACCACTCTTTCTTTTTTTAACTTTATTTGAAGATATTAAAGAGAACGGATTCGTATAAGACTATTGAAAATCTGAGTATATGCTAGTCTATAGTATAAATAATTGAAAAATAACTAAACAAAAACGATGTACTCACTAGATACATTCTCGTTACTATCTCTGACCTGATTGGCGTCTCCGCTTGTCGCCGGCCCCACCTTGGACACTTCGTGTTCCACTTTCACCATGGACCTGGAGTTCACAACGCGACCGCTACTCCACTCCGCAAACAGCCACTTCTCAATTTTCCCCCTAGACGCCATCACTAATATATCATATCACTCCGACTAGTTCCGACTGAATGAGACCCTTCCTCAAAGTGCATTACATCGGTCTCAGGTAAAAGTTTCATTACGCACCCTTACTGCATTATTATTGCATCCCCCGCCCCAAGCCCGGTCGGAACAATGAGTTTCGCCAACGGCTCGGGTGCTAACAAAAACTTGTCTTTTTTTTTTCTGCAAAGGCATTTCTAAGTAAGTTTCTAAGCGGAGATTTATTTTATTGTACCGAGCCGAAACCCACTTTGTCTATTGAAGCATTAGAGGTTCGTAAAACGGCTCGCAATGTTCATATCTATTTGATGTTTTATTCCTTTCGACAATTTTTTTGTCATCTAATTGGAAAATAGTGATATGAAATGAACGATTAATAATAACGGTAAAGTATGTGACATATATAAAAATTTGTCAGAGAAAAAAAGCAGACTAAACATCTTTAAGGTGAATATCTTCCAATTGGGACTTTTTAAAATTTACATTAAAAGCCTAAAGGCTACACTTTAAAAAGAAGTAACATTTTTTATTGCAAGGTTGAGGGACTAATTGCTAACGATGTGGATTCTCTCTGGGATTATACCTTTTCATCATATAACATTATCGTAAGTTTCGGATTCTTTATACCCGTAACAATTATTTTTCTCAGATTATTAATAGCTTAAATAATTAAACGAAACAAATAACCGAATGCATTAAAAATTTTATTGTTTTTCGGGGACACTATATTGGAAAAACCGGCTAAATGCGACTCGAACGCGCCAAAACGGCAAAAAAAATGTCTGTTGTATGAGCCCCACTTAAATATTTTTTATTCTGTTTTATAATATTTGTTGTTATAGAGACAACAGGACGGACGGACGAATGGACCGACGGATAGACAGACAGTGGAGTCTTAGTAATAGGCTCCCGTTTTACGCTTTGGGTACGGAACCCTAATAATATTGCCTTTGTCATTCATATAATGGAGACGAATCTAATGATGAAAAGTTTTGATTGTAGAGCGTGCCAATGAATTAGATGTACATACATCCACATACGCTCAAAAACATTACCCTTCTTTAGCACTCGGGTAAAAGCACTATGCTCGATATACGCAGCCTGGCTTCCGTTTGTCTTATCTTTGAATACTTGTAATCTGTAATCATAAAGGCGGGAGAATGATGTTCGCAACTCTGAAGATAGTATCGTACACAACTGGAGTGATAATAGTCCGTTTGATAAAAATCTTGAGGGATACTACTACATATTTTTGAAATAATATACAAAAAATCATTTCAGAGATAATCGAAACATAATTATGGTCATCCATTTCATAGAACGTTCGTAAATATTTAAGTAGACTGCTGCGGAGATAATGAGGTTGACACAAAAGTGGATTATGTCAGGGTTAGCGTCGATATGATCATCACCCATGACCACGTTACCTAGTTTAGTGCAAAATACGAAAAGTTGTTGCCGGAGTCCCGTGACCTTACAATAGCTTTAATCCAATGAATAATTTTACAGCGAGAAGCATTTCGACCTGTGACCGTTTTGAAAATACTTCATCAGGAACAGGAAATGGTGTAAATTACCTGAGGTTTGATTTAAAACTAAGCTATCAATACTATAAGATACAGAGGGATCAATGCGTCTAAATAATTTGAACCCTTTTGTAAAGCTTAGTTTGCGACAGTATGCGTTTGTAATATAATTATTACGCGTACGTTGATCAATGATGCACCTACAGATATTATCGATCCAAGAAAGTACCTTGAGCGGTACCTAATAATGTGTTAATATTTAGGGCTGGATTTGAAATAAGACTCTTAGCCGACACATACATTGAATTCGCCGATTTAATGTCCATGTCACGCCTGTAGTTGTTGACGCACATGCGTCGAAGTTGTTGTTCCGGTTAGGTAAGTCCAATTTCCTAAGACAATTTAGTTATAATTTTACGTATGTAATGGTTTTTACTGGATTTTTCACAAATTAAATGAATAAGCCATAGGCATGTCCAGGTCTCGAACAGACATCTCAAATGTCTTTGAAGTATCGTAGTCTAAGATTTGGAATATTGGCGAATATTGGCGTCCTTTGTTATTTTTTATGTAAGTGGCAAACGAGCTGGCGATTCTCCTGATGTTATGTGATAAGCGCGGCCAATAGACATTTGCAACACCCGTAGAGTTGCAAATGCGTTGCCACCTTTAAATAAAGTGGGCCCCGTCTCCTCCACTCACGAAACGAAACGCAGAAGTGTAACACTTCCACTATACGCCGATCTTCTGTTTGGTCGTGTCACGTATTCGGACGGACCTGCCCATTCGTGCAACAGTGAACAATGTAGCGTGGCCCTACCACAGTTATGTTAAATCGCCTCTCGATATTCTATTGGGACAAAACTTTTAAAAACACAATCATTTATATTTATCTATGTTTCAAAACCTGAACGTGAATATTTTATTTACGCTTCCGATTTAGAATTCGTAGAAAATAAACTTTAGATACATTTTCCAGAAAAATTTAAATTATTAAAATCTGGAAGGCAATGTCAAAAAAGCATTTAAAAATTGAAACCATTTATTTACAACAAACAAATCTGCTTCGGGGGAAATAATGTTTAATAATATAGATGACGCATGTCCAGACTGTGGGGTGTTTAAAAATTGTTCTGCTTTACATTATACGACATATATAAGTGAATATGAAAGTTGATATACAACCTATAATAGGGCAAGAGATAGCAGTCTATTGAATTTCAATCTAATTACACCAATTGATGTCATTTTGGCGTCTCAGTTTCGGTGTGCTAGTGTCATTTGTTATTTGTATATAATGTCATTGACATATATATTGTAGGTTAAGCTTCGATCATCAACATCCAACTTTATCACCTAAAAAAACTCATGTAGCTTACTGTCTGAAGCATTCATAGAGGTATCATAATTATGTTCTCTTTCATCTGTTACATTCACCTAAATATGTCATTTAAATGTAAAGCGGAACAATTTTAAAAACGCCGCGCTGTATGGACATGCCTCATCTTATTTTTAAAATAATTATCATTGATTAAATATATTTTTGGAACGACCGCAGTAACCATCATCAAAATTGCGTAAGTATAGAAAGAATAATTTGAATGTAAAATAACAGACATTTACTTTTAAATAATGCAAATAGAAAGTATGGAATTAAAAATAATAAACACTTTTCTTGTTACTGTGTGACAGCTTTGGTGTTAGAGGGAGAATAATAAACTCATGAATACCAAAAAGTATTCAAGCGTTTCTTTGGAATCGAATAGCCGTAACTATTTATGAATTGTTTGTATGGTTGTCCATTTGTATGCATTTATTTCAATGTCTTCGGATTTGTATCCGAAGATGTTGAAATAAATACATACAAACAATACCTATTTTTTTATTGTTCAGAATTATGTCATTAATCTAATATATAAAATTCTCGTGTCACAGTTTTCGTTGCCATACTGCTCCGAAACGGCTTGACCGATTTTGATGAAATTTTTTGTGCGTATTCAGTAGGTCTGAGAATCGGCTACTATCTATTTTTCGTCCCCCTAAATGTTAAGGGGGTAGTCCACCCCTAATTTTTTATATAAAACTTTTTGTTTCTATTTTTTATGACACAGCATACAAAAATACATACAACCCTAAATTTTCACCCCTCTACGCAGACGTAGTCGCGGGCAGCAGCTAGTAGATTATAAAAGTACTCTTTGGCTATTATCAATTGTCAACTGTCAATGTCAATTGCAAGTCAAGCATGAATCAATCAAGAAATTCTTCTAAAGATATAAAAGGAATTTAATGATAAATACATAAATTTAAATAATGGAAGCAACGGTTTTAAAAAAAAGAAAGACAACTATTAGTAAAGGCATTATTAAAAAAACAATCAAAAATGTAATTTGTAAACCAGATACCTTATATTGGTAAGTTCAGGTTAGATTTCATATTTTTTTATTAATTACATACATTACGTCCTTAATATCTTAGTAAGTCATAGTGGCACATTATTTATTAATGCTATGTATATATTTTGTAACTGTAAAAGTGGTTGCTTTTATAATGGAAAACTACAATTAAAATCAGATACTACATCATATTAGGTGCTGCTAAGTTACTTTTACACAATGAAGAATACGGTAAATGTAAAAAATACAGTTCTGAACCCAAATTTCTTATTTTATTTAAGGCCAACATTATCAGAAAAGGAAGAAAAAGAATTAGAAGCCATGCTAATTAAGTATCGTATTGATATCCCACATTTTAAAAAACTGCATTGGAATGAATTAAAGAATATTCCCAAGAATCAAAGGCCCAAACCACCATCAGTTAAGTAAGTTCTTCCAACTATATCATCAAAATATTACATCTGATATTGAAGAAATTTTTTCAGTGGTCTCTTTCAGTTTGCAGTCTAAAACCAAAATAGAAGTACCTGTTTTCAAACATGAGAGGCATTTCTAAATCATTGCCTGCATTAATGATAGCAATAGGCCCTCAGCCAGCCAGAACTCTTTAAAATTTTTCCTGATTTCCATCACAAATAGGTGGCATTTGTTTTGTTCTCTTACATTAATTCTTTCTCTACTCTTGTCATAATGACTTTATTTTAATGTACATTTGTGGTTCACAGAAAAGCTGAAGGATTTATATTTGGAATATCAGAATGTAGCAGTTTATTGGAAAATAATCAAGTTGCTGCTTTAATTTTGGAGGCTGCAATTAATCCTAGAACTATAGCACAAACATTGTTACGAGTTTGTGATAAGAACCAAGTGCCAGTAGTTTGTTTAGCTGGGCTAAGACAAATTAGCGCTGCTAACTTTGGAATAACTACAAGTTGTTTGGGTCTTAAAAGATCTGATTTATTAACAGATCTAATAGAAGAAATAAAGCAAATATCAAGTCATTGTAAACCGTCTGGGAGTAACGATTTGCATCTCCAAAACGTAAAGCAAGATACACAAAACAACAATGTAGATGATAAAGATTCACCTGAGATATCTAGCAGTGTATCATGTTATACATATTTGTATAGAACTAACAAAAAACGGGTATTTGTGCCTGATGAAGAAAAGCCTGGTGAAGAAACTATTGTTAAAAAGCAGTTTGTTGGACAAAACTTTATTGAGCTTCCTAAGAAGCTTGAACAGGTGAAAGATAGTACAGCATACAAGAAAATGTTAGTCAAAAGAATATCTAATAATCCTAACAGACCAAAGAAAAAAAAGTAGTCTCTTTGTAATATCTCAAATAAAAGTCAATTTACAAATAAGAAAGATGATTTATTTCAAATTAAATTTAGATTTATAAGTATAATGTCAAAAAAGACATAATAATATGTATTAGTCATTCCTTTACTAAGGAATGTTAACTTTCACAGTACTCAAAAATTGTTTCAGGATTTGTTCTACACCTATATATATAGAATTATCCTATCACATTTTCAAGTACAAACTATTCACATTCAATCAAGAACCATGGCTACATTAAATGTGTCGTTTGCTCAATAGTTAGGGAATTGGCAAGCAAAATTTATAATATATAAATATATATTGTGATAGAGCAGAGCCTTTAATCTTTGCCTCTTCAATTTTATTTCAGAGTGATTGTGATCATCAGCCCTAAAGTCTGCCTTTATGTGCAAATGATTTAGTACCTTACTTTTTATTGAAATTCATTATTCAATCCATATCAATGTGAAACATGTACAAATCATACACTGGAATGCTCACCAGTTCCTTAACTTTAAAGGTAGATAATATGACATCCATATTTTGCATAATATTTCACAATTTTCATTTTGTTACATGTATAATGCGATTCTATGATCATACCCGCCAAAGCTGACCTGTCAAATTGTAAGCCATGGTTGTTGAGAAAAATCAAAACACTTAAATTAGACTATGTAACATTGCTCCATACAACATCAATCGTAACAAGATTGATGTATGAAGTAAAAGAAGCAAGTAGATAACATTTATCTTACATTTTCATTTGATGCATTGCATTTATGGTTTAATAACAGTTCAATTCAATATAAATCAAACAACAAATAGTGTTCTTGATATATCTATAATAATAATAATAATAATAATGACTATAACTCCATTATATATCTGGCCTTAATTGCCACCTAAAATGTGCTGAGCAGAAATGACATGAATTTAACAATAAGGTTGATTAGTCATTTCTTATAAAGCACACCTTAGATGCTTTCTACTTTCTATGAAGATATATTGCTTCAGCAAAAAGTAGAAAAGGATTAACTTAAATCATATTTGTTTACTGGAGGTACACTAACCATGTTCATCTATAAATTGGATCATAATTTATGAATATGTTTGTTATTTGAAACTTAATTAAAATAATCAAGTATTACAAATGTATCCTGCCAATCAATCGTTTTATTAATAATATTCAGTCATGGTCAAGTTGATAAGCAATTTCTAATAATAAATTTAATGTAAAGTAAGTCTGCCTCCACTAAACAGTTTTGTAGTAATTTATCATAAAAATTGATTTTAAACATTTTAGTACATAGTACCAATAAGGAATTATACCATCACACAAGTTTTGTATTACTATAATAGTATGTTAGACTTGTGAATATAATAATGTATATTTACCTAACAATATTTATGTATGTATTAATAAATGTTAATAAATTTCTTTATACTCAAGTAAATTCACATACTATATGTAAATGATGTCATTTTAGTTCAAGTTGATTAACTTTATAATATATTACTTTCGTTGATTTTGATGGATCAATTTTAACTATAATTAAAAATGAAGAAATCATTATTTTTGTGAAAATTTCAGCTAAATATTATACATACCATTAACTGGTTCAACAGTATGATATAAACTATACAAATATATAAAACTATTCATATAATATAGAAAGGATTCAGGATAATTTTAATAATGAATGTCATTACGAATTTGTACATCCTTATGCACTAAACTTAAAAAGAAATTATTCATTAAGACATACACTTCTTAGAAGCGTATGATAAAACAATAAATCGAAATGTACATAGCAAACGCTTCACTTGTAATTTTGTAGCATCAGCTGCGTGTTAAAAATTATCGAGATTGTATATTGCAAGTGTAAATTTTCATTCATTTCCACATCCAAATAGTGTTAATTTGAAAATCTTTTAATTTCACGCCTCGAAATTATCCAATACAAAAATGTGTTCGTATTTACAAATTTGAATTCAATCTGGCGATTGAGGTATCCTAGAAGGCGACCGGTACGGTGAATGTATAACCGCTATTTCCTGTGGAAACGGGGCATAATTCCGTGCCGGGCGCGACTTATAGGTGCGGGGGGCGGGGGGGCGGCGGCGCCTCGCTCGGCCTGTACCGGTCCAAGATGATCGCGCACATTGTCTGGGCGTCGGTCTCCTGCGGGTGGGCGGCCATCGCCTCGGCGACCTGCGCCTCCGGGAAGATGCCCGCCAGGTGGAAGTGCATGCGGCGGCGCGCCTCCCAGTGCTGCAGCGCGCCCTCGGAGGCGCAGGGGGAGAGCGGGAGGGCGCGGCCCACGGCCGCCGCGGCGCCCACCGGCGCGGAGGCCACCCTCGAGGCGGCCGCGTGCAGGCGCGGGTCGCACGAGGGGTTCAGGGTCAGCTGCCGCGCCAGCTTCCTGTGCGGGTTCGCGTCCGGCGGCGGCTGCGAGGGCCCGGGCAGCACCTGGGCGCGCTCGAAGTGCGTCGCGAGCGCGGCGTCGGCGAGGCGCGGGGCGGCCGAGTGCGCGCGCGCCAGCGGCCGCTTGTTGTCCGCCGGCCGGCCGCCCGCCGGCAGGCTCAGCGTGTGCAGGTCGCGCGCCCTGAGCGCCCGGGCGGCGCGCTCGGAGAGCCTCTCGGCCACCGGCTTGTGCGGGCGGCCCGCGCGCTCGGGGTGGTGGAACTTGCACTTGTTGCCGTACGTGCACTTGCGGCCGTAGGGGCAGGCGGGCGGCGGCTCCGCCCTGGCGGGGGGCGCGCGCAGGAACGCGTCCAGCGTGGGCCCCGACCTGCCGAGCGGGTCGTCCGGCGGCATGAAGCGGTCGTTCACGAACGAGAACATGAGCAGCCGCCCCTCGACCACCTTGCGGAACTCTGGGCTCTCGGCGGCGAGGTCCCGGTAGTTGTCGTTGGAGACGACGATCCCGTCCGTCTCGGCGGCGAGGCGGAGGATGTACCTGTCGTCGTAGCAGATGAGCCGTTTGCCGCCGAGCAACCGGCTGGGCGTGTACACGAGCACCCTTTCCCTTTCGAGGCGGTCGAGCGCGTCCCGGTCGGCCACTGGGTTGTCGGGCCGGGAGGCCTCTTTTCGCCATTTCGGCACGAACACCGTGATCTCCTTGTGGCCCCGACTGCGGAACCAGTCCACGCATATCTCGATGCCGCGGCACGAGAAAACTTCTTTGTTTCCATGGCTGTAAATTGCAAGGAAAACGGTTATTACAAGAAAATAAGAAACATAAATTATATGTGTCTCAGATAAACTCATACCGCGAGGCACGCAAAGTATGTTGTGGTCGGTTATTTTATAATATCGGTCATGCCATTCAAAACAGTTAATTTTCAAATAGTGCATCGTCCTATCACTTAAATGTATCGTATATGTATGGTTATAGCGAGCATTTTGGCATAACGATGACCATGTAACACCATGCGTCTAGCACTACCGCGCCCTCTACCATATCGGTCGGAGAAAAGTTCACCGAATGAACTCGTAAACGCGACCGAAAATGTGCCGTTGTTCGTTGAGGAACAGTTTAGAAAAACGGTTCTTCAATCCAACCTTACCTCATAGCGACGTTGCTGCCGTCGATGACGATGTGCCGTAAGGGCGCGCGCTCCGGCGGTAGGTCAGGCTCCGCCGGCGGCGGCGGGGAGCGCGCCCTGGGCGGTTGTTTCGCCGCGAGCTTTATCAGCTCCGCTAGCAGCTCGTTCCGCGGCGGGTCGGGCCCGAGACGCTGCAAAGCGATGCGCGCCAAACGCTCCGAGTAGCCCAGCTTGACGGCGAAATCGATTTTCGCCTGTTTAAAAACAAATACAAGCTTCATTGAAGTGATTCGATAATTGGACGAGAGTTGAAGGTGAATTTACATTTACGTTTCTTTACGAGCGAAAAGATATAACGTAGAAGGAGAGGGCGACATTTTAGCAAATACAAAACGAAGATAGCTTAGCGTTGCACGCTTTTCAGATATGCGCGTCAGACGCTATGAACAGCTGAGGTATCGCGCGTTGTGCAATTTACAATTATCATTGTGTTTTATAACGCCAAATAAATAAAACCAAACAGAATAGATAGGTCTATGGTCGATATAGACCTACCGAGCTTTGTTATGCCCCGACACATACAGTAATGTACTTTCCCACAAAAATAGCCCAAATGTGAAAATGGATTTAATACGTATGAAACCCGAAAACTACAAGAATCATTAACGTAATCTGTGCTTAATGCAACATTTAGCAGCAGTTATATCACAGTACTCGACTATCGTTACGTAATAAGTGTCGGCAATGCTAAATGTGCGTTACGTAAGTAGGTGGTAATTGGTATATTTGATTATATTAGACTACTCAAACGCTAGACTAGGGAAATTGAGGAAAAAATTGTTAGACACCAAATTAATATTCGTGTGCAGGCAAATACACACAAAATAACGTCTTACTATCTATTTTATATTTTTTTCGGATGACACGATAGCCTAAGCCACTGGCCATGTCACCGGGGGTCGTGGGTTCGATTCCCAACGGGTGTGTGACCCATACATAATTGTTTCGGATCTGTTTGATGTGTTTCATTAACAACATGTTGAAAGGGTGAAAGAAGAAAAGAGAATTTCTTGTTTTTATTTCTATCCATATTAAAATTTTATAACATTATCGAAGATAGCTTCATAATTATAAAAGGGTAAACGTGCTTCAACATGTATAATTTGATTCGCCATTCATCGCTTTACACTAATCTGTGTCTGTGTACAATATTATCTATTCATCAAGCCATCGCCCAGCAGCGGGATATATATATGTATATATATGTATATATATGTATATATATGTATATCGACTGTCACATGACTGTACATACTATACGTAAGAAAGCAATAAATATTTCGTTGCTTCGGCAAGTAAATCTCTTTTGCCCAGGTACTCTGTTATCTCAATTTCTATCGCTGTGGTGACCTCTTTACTCTGAGATCGTTGACGTTCAGTGACGCACGCTACGTATGCTGTTGATATTGGATTGCGTCAATTCTGTGATGTCGTAAATAACACGATAACTCTATTTTACATCTGTCTATCTTAAAATGCGAAAGCGAACTGATCTATTTTGTTGCACAACACATTATGAGATTTGTCGGTAGATGTAGAAGACAATTTTTCAAGGTTATAAACGAAATTCAGAAAGAATACACAAACATAAAATAATAAAGAAGGATGTGACCACATTATTTAAAATTTTCTCAGTTAATGCGGTACACGCAGATTTTTTTACGCGCCCTCATTTTAAAAGACTGACTCGAATTCAATCCGCATTAAATTAAAAGCATTACAAATTTTTCGACACTCAAAGTGGGCGATTTCAAGGCAAGAGTGAATATATCAATTAGCCTGAGCGTTTAACACCTACGAACATACAGCGCTATGGTCATACAGTTGGAACAGCCAAACTACAATCTACATGAGGGGGTACTCACTTAAAACCACGCGAAGCGAGTGCTCGTTTAAGACCTTCTCACACTGAGAGAAACAGTCAAACTACAGCCAGTTAAATTAAGAAAAAATCAAATGTAGAACACAGACAACGAATCCGTCCGCACGTATAATCTGTCATCGACTGTACTTAGCAACGTATAGGTACTCGGAGTTACGATGATGATAAGACGAAAGCACCATTTTCAAATGTCCCTCCGCATGCGGATGCCGGGAACGCCACTGATAAGCTCCGCGCTTAGAGACTTTCTATTCTTTCTTTCTATTTCTTTCGTTTGACTTTGCATCTTTACTAGAATTCAGTCCACGATGTTATACCTACTAACACATAGGTATTTTCCAAGACAAACCCTAATGTATTAAAATTTATCCGAAAGGATTTATAAACAGTTACGTATACCTTATGATTTCATGTACATATTTAAACAGATAGTACACAATATTTCTAAATAAAAGTATTTTAAGGATTTTACTGTATTTCGCTTTGTTTTTTGAATTCCTCACGTATATATAAGTATACATATTATGAACTATAAATTTTCATTATTTTAACCACCGCCGAAGTAGATTGAAAATGCATTGCCAACCATTAAAAAAAGGGGCCCCGATTACATCACTCATCAGACGTTCCCTAAATTATAATACTTTCGCTTCACGTCGGTGTTTTGTGAGGTCATTTCCCTAGTCGATTCTGCACATTTAAGCAACAGCAAAAGCACTTGCGTGGCCCTATCACAGTATAAGGAACAGACAAATTTCTAATTCCACGTCTTTTATACTCTAGCGTCCGTTCCTAATTTGCACTACGACACAATTACGAGAACACCACTTTGGGTCTTCAATTACTAATATTTTATATGATAATTCAATAAGCATTATTTAATTTACTTTAATAAAGGCTTTCTTTCGCTCTAACCGAACGCTTACAAGAAAAATCAGTGTTAAATCGACGGGTGAACAATTCCGTTTTTCATTTCTAACTCGTTAAGTTTCCCAAGGTCGAGGATGTTTTACAAAAATACACAATAATATTTAACTGATATTTACCGAAATCTAAATCAAAGGTAAAAAGTTAAAAAAAAAATTACATCAAAATAGTAAGCATCGCATCGTTCGCCGCGGTATCGGGCACACTTCATTTAGCGATGCAGTCTTAATACGTTTAACTGCGTAATCATTAGAACGAAACACTTAGCACAATGTCTGTAGTATACGCGATGGTGTGAGTAACAGAAAAAATATGGTACCGATACCATAAAATGGACATAAATTTTAGAGATAAGGCTGTGAAAAAGTCTTCAAAGCTTGCACGATGATGAAGAAGAAAATGGAGTTAGAGATCAAAACGAATGTGGTCCAACGATACTAGAAGAAACGACTATAAGGCATGGCGTGCACGAGTAGGCCTGTACTCAGAAGTGACTGGCTAGACAGAAATTTAAAGTTTTTTATAGTGCACTATAAAAAACTTTTTTTATAGTGCATCTCTGCACTTAAGATTAAACCTTAAATTTCTAAAAAAAATGGCGACATCTCTCGTTCGAAGTTGAATTGATTGTATGCTGGAAAGGATATAACAATGGATGCGCCAAGCATTGCTTCAAATGCTAAATAACAATGTAGATAAAAGACGTTAAGATTTTCGTCGGTGTGGCAATCAACCGTTTAGCTTAGTGGCTAAAGCGTCAGGCCGCGAATGCCGAAGACGTGGGTTCGATTCCCACAGCGGCGACAATCTTTTCGTACTTTTTCTACAAGTTTTAATGGCTAGATAGAAGCTAAATTATATTTATGCTGTGAAGGATTTAAAAGTGCATCGTGTACAGGACTTCTTAAATCTGACACTAGAGCATTCGACGTATAGGATCGTAGACGCACATGAATCAAGACATAAACCAACAAAACCGCGGAGAACCGGTCAAAACGAGAAATAGCCTGGGAACCATATCATTCGCGTGTCCGATACGGGCAATTAAAAAAAGCATCGACCGAATGAATTGTGTCAATAAATTTTAACAGTATCGAGATAATGGGCACGCCCATTAGCATATTTTGGGTGGCAGACGAAGAAACAAACGTTAATACAACTTATAATATTCCTTTACGGAATGTTGAATGAATACAGAAACTTTTTAAGAGATACAAATGCGTTTCATTGATTCAATTTCTTATTTATTTATAATTACTCGGAATCCTTTGCGGGTTTTTTATAAAATGTCATCAAAGTATAGAAATTATCGGATAACTGGTCCACAAACGCAAATTCCTTTCTACATATTATTTGATAGGAAGCATTTTAAAAGCTGCTGAATAAATTCGCTAGAACAAAATAAGTTTACTAATATTCTGAGTGCAGCATTATCGCATTGAACCTTATTTAACATTCAGTTCCTAAGGAAATCCATAGATTTCAACTGTAGAATATAGGAATTTATAGTAAATATTCTAAAGTTTACAAAAATATATATACAGCTATTGTCTTGTTCTGGAGGCAGACCACCTCATTCCTCTCAAACTCCAACAACTTATACGTCCTGTAATTCTTCCTAATATGGGTTATCTTTAACACCGTCACTGGTGTCCGTTCAATGAATGTTCTTTTCGGACGTTACCTTCCAGCATTTTCCTTCACACTTGTCTAACATGCTTTGCCAGAAAGAAGGAATGAATTGGAGTTTACCTAAGGCTATGTTTAATCACGTTTTAGTCACACACATGACAGGTCAAAAAATTACATTTGCATATAAGGAATTGGAAAAACGGAACAAGTTAGCGGTGCGCATCGCTGTGATTTGAACATAAAGTGACGCGAGAACATCACAAGCTCAAGATCCGTTTTGTAACGTAGGAGAATCCTTTATAAATCCTATTCCACCGGAGAGACACAGATATATGTAGGAGTCCGGTTCGGAACTGGTACAAGCTAATAAGCCTCCATCGCGCGCTACATGGGAACACGAAGACGTAATTTCCCGGGACCACAGTGCCCCCAAGTCCTAAGCAGCATATAATTACACTGGGTACAGCACTAGTGACTTACCTGGTTGGGCTGCGGCGGGGGTGCTAACGTCACGTACTCGGCGAACTCAGCGGCGAGGGTGTCCGACGGGGTGCGGGAGGCGGCCCTGTGGCCAACCTCCTCCTCGCACTCCGAGTCGTAGCTGGAGTCCTCGCCGCGCTCACCAGCCCAGCCCAGCGACGATTCCACATATTTCTGGGAAAAGACAGGACAAGCTTAAAAAGATGACTCCGTGGAGCAGTTGTGAAGGTATCGGCTTCGGCGCCAGGGGTCGTGGGTTCGATTTCCACACGGGACAAGTATTTGTGTGACCCACACTTAATTGTTCCGGATCTGGGTGTTTGTTTGTCAAACGCTCTTATAACACAGGATAATGTTATCCTTCTACAGTAGGGGCAAAGTTTAAAATAAAATCGTGTGGCATGTCAAAAAAACTCACGGCACGTCGATAGAACCACGCAATAGCATACGTTGCAAAATAACAGTAAGACTTGCCACGGCCACACAGAAGACAGAACACCGACATGATAACATAAAAGAATGAAGAAAAATGTATCCGTGAGTATGCTATCTTAGTTAACTTTCTGCTTCTGCAGATTCGATCGCGAATTAACCGGAGGTTCACGTGAAACAGGTAAAAGATAATTTAAATTTAAATATAACGATCTTGCGTTACGATTCAAAGTTATCGATTTGCGTCTAAACCGAAGTTGATAGTATCATCTAGGTTGTCGTTGACGTGTGGAAAAGACTAATTTCACAAGGAATAAGCCGTTAATTTATTGTATGATTAAATGTATTCCTTTTTTGGATATTATAGTACTTTATATAGTTCATAAAAAGGAATTAGATTAAGAAGTTATTAGTGCTTGGAGCATAATATAATTTTTATTTACTCAGTTGTTTAGAAATTAAAAAGTACAAATACACCTGACCTACATTAACTGAATACAGAAAGAAGAGTAAGCAATAAATTCAGAATACGAATGGTCAGGTCCAACCCGGGTAGATACCATGACCTCATAGAACCAGCGTAAAGTGGAAATTTTATACTTATGCGTTTCGTCTGGTTACTGAGGTAGCCGTGGTCCACTTTATTTTATTTTTTTATTTTCTAGTAGTAGTATAGCGAAGAAATGGTCATTTCATTGATTGGAACTTATTGCTCGGTAGGAAAATCAAATGTTTGTTTGTATGTTGAAAGTTAAGCAAGTCCAAGATCCTCTCAAGGCGACGATGGATCTATTAAATGACTTGTTATTAATTGTTTTCTCAATCAGGAGACGTTAGTTCCCGGTCATGACATACATTACGAATCGTATAACTTGCTTGTGAGAAATATTATTGATGTAGTGAAGGATTTAATGGAAATCATCTTGACATGGAAAATACCAAAGGTGAATTTAACTTGTTCCTTGCAACACTGTTTGGTAGGAGGGTTTGATAACTTGATTGAAAATGATAAACGTGAGCAGATTCTAAATCAGATTTCTTATTAGTCTTGGTTCATCAGTACGGCTAGATGGTAAATGGAAGCATTACTTCTTTAAGCCATATATATGTACATTTAACACCTTTAAAATTACGCAAATTATCTTTCGCCGGTTCTTCTCGGGTCAGTGGCTTTATTCCGAAACGGTAATAGTGCTTTTTAACAATCAATAAGTGTAATGCTTACATTGAATAAAGATATTTGAATTTGAAACTAGCATACTTTTTTACGTAAAATCATTCATATCACATAAAGCATCAACTTCTCTAAGTGTATTAAACGTAAAATTAAAAGTCAACTTATGGTTAAAGCATATTATACCATTGTGGAATATCTCGACGACGCCAATATGTGGAGCTAATACTGTTGATACTCATCACGTAGGCTAAAATAAGACTATTATATCTTTATGTTTTATTGTAAACTGACAGTTTTGAAAAAGACCAACTGTTGAGTTTCTTGCCGGTACTCTTCTCAACAGAAATTGCTTTCCTAACCGGTGGTACCTTACGACCTTATATATATAATTTTTGATGTAAAATTTGACGATTCATAAGAACGCGCAAGCGTCTATTTGTATAAATATATATTTGATTTGATTTGATTTGATTGAATAATTTGTTTAGCAACTGCTTGATAAAGAGGTCTAAAACTTATAAATATGAACTCGCTGTTAAGCAGTCTCTTCAATCTTTTACAATTTTACAGTCCATTTTTAGACACAAAAAAATTAAACATTAAAAATGTGATTTAAAATTATATTCATTGTATTGTTGAACATTGCACCACCCTGAAGTTGAGTAACACGTCTGTTGCCCACGACTTATCTGTCAACTGAACACATATTGACCAAGCGACAATCGATAAGCGAACATAATTGAAACAGTGCCCCGGCGCTGTCATAGCACAGGGTCGCGGGCCGTCGAAGCGGGTCCCCTCATGATCGTTGACCTTTACTTTGGTCTCAGCACTTGCGTTCAACCACTCGACGGACCCACGCGCCCAGATGCTGAGTTTCTAACGCCGCACAAAACCAGTTATCGCTGTGCACGGGCGAGACTAAAATTAATTCTTAGTCATTGCAACATCCGCGTCGAGACTGGCGTACGCTCAACTCGACCGAGAATCCGAGATCGAAATTCTGATTGCGGATTATGTGTCGCTCGGAGTGTGGAGTCGGCCAACGGGCAGCGGAGGTAATTCGGTCACCGCCCTCCGTCCATGTTCACATTCATTATTCAGTTCGTATTGTTGTATATCACTCAAGGGAGCCATTTATACGACTGCCTCCGCTATTCCTTCCTCCGCCTTCATTATTCACTTCGTATTGTTGTATATCACCCCAGAAATCCATTTAAATTCACTGCGAAAGGGTTAAACTGACTGAAGTTTAAACGATAATGATCATTAATCAGGTCTTGGAAAACAATCGCGAAAGCTCTACCTTTTCGATTTTTTCCGTCATGTTTTACATAAAAAATTGCTCCGTTAACCATCTTGACACAGATTTGAGAGGTTATGTTATTATTATTACAATGCGGCAATTTACGACCGTTGCTAAAAGCAATAAAGACAATGATGTATGAAAATAAATGACTGATTCCTTCTGCTAGAAAGATTATTTTTTTACTCAGTGGACTGTATTATGGATGCGGTGATTGTTCCAACCATGTAAGACCCACGCATCCGTTTCTGATGCTGCACGAATGGGCAGGCTGGATCTGAGACGGCTGAAGAAAGTGGAAATATTTGAAGTTCCAGATTTAGATTCTCATGGTGAGTAAAGTAACCGGGATCCATTTTTAAAACGTTGAGATAATAAATATACAGTATGCATAATAATTTTCAATCGGGAGAAACGCCTACTAGGTTGCCATCTTCTCTCATAGAGAAAATTAATAACATATTAGAAAAATTGAATGTATTTCGTTACATTCTGTTACTACAACGCTTAATTGCAAACAAAGCTCGCAGCTATAATAATAGTTCATGTTTCAAACACTCACCAAGGACTAACTTTGGCGGAAACGCATCCACGTGTGGAAACCATAACGCGTGTCATGAAAAACACATTCAACTAACAGTCATGGGTCGATGTCGTTGTTTATCGTAGTAGAATTATAAGACGGTGCCTTCCGGAAGTGATCGTTTATGGCCAATTAAATCGATTTGCAAGCTAGTCGTAAAGAAGTTCCAGTACGGTACACCCCAAAACACTAAAACCCACGGGTTATAAAGTAAATTTATCACTTGTTTTAAGTTATAACAATCAGCATGTTTAAAGAACACTTTGGATATCATTTAAGTGACCACTTATGTTATTGACAATCACTTGGAGAAAATGAAGTTTTTTTAGTGCATGCCCTGTTTGAAATGTGCACGCCGTACCGGTAACAGGTACTGTGCCTGAATGGAGACGGTACAATGACAAAATCGTAGGCGGGGTCAACGTAAGCGCGCGTTAGGCAAATGACTCAAGACATAGAAATACATGTGATCGGACCTGTAGCGAAAATAGAGGCCGCGTTTTGGGATGTTTGTTATCTATTCGCGCGCGGAATAGCGCCATACTCGTCTGTGTGTATTGTTTACCTAACGTCATACGAAATCGAGTTTTGGCGACAGGTTGCATTTACATAGAGGCTTATCGAAGCTAGTCGTTTGCATTCTTCAATAACCATCGGAATGTTGTATACAATTATTAATTAAATGTCGATTTTCGAGAGTTCACAAACACCTATTTGCGTAAGCTCGTTTGTTGATGTGGCCTTTACGTTTATACACGATGACAAAATGATAAGGAAACATATCCTGGAAGACGGGTAAAACAATCTGACGCGGGTGGTTTTATAATTCATCTTCAAATGATGACAGATAATCATACGGGTAACAAAAACTGAATATGGGGGTTCCTTCGCTTTAATTTTTCTATTGAAATTTAACGCTATATTCAAACTTTAGCGCTCGTGGTAATCACATATTTAGTATTTTTTTTGGGCAGATTTCTATAAAACTACATACACTACTTGTAAAACCACTCACAATCCGTAAGTGTCGCGTTCCGCGCCGTCGTACCGTCGAACTCATCTGTCACATTAAAAATAAATTTCACTATTTATTTCATTGGTATTACGCATCGGATGGGAGCAATGACGTAGCATCTTCACTCGGTTCACGCGCAAGTTCCGCGGCCCGCTCTGCGCCCGCAGCCGGATGCGACTTTCTAAAAAAACAGAACGCGCGCCACAGAGTGAATAAACCAGCAGGGCCAAATAAAGTCGAAAGTGTTTCCCATTGCGTTCGGACGTTTAAGCGTTGCGTTTCGATAGCGAATTTTTTCGACATTTTTGATTTTGGCTCGCCCTCGTTTAGATTGAACAGCAGACGATGTTCTGCAAGAACCGGTAAGCTTTTCTGCAGCAAGGTGAAAACAAAAGGATGGTAGGTTGCACCTCGACGAAGCAAATACACTGTTTAATACCTCCACCGGTTATGTCTTTCAGAAATTACAACACCTAGCAACGCCAAATAAAGTCGAAAGTGTTTCTCATTGCGTTCGGACGTTTCATCGTTTCGTTTCGCATAGCGAAATTGGTCAAGTTTTGATTTTGTCTCGCTCTTGTTTAGATTTAACTTAATGGGACAGCAGACGCTGTTCTGCCGGACATGGTAAACTTTTCTGCAGCATTATGAAAACAAAAAG